AGACATAGCTTATAAGTTTTACCTTTTCCCTGGTGGCCAACACATTGTATAAGTTTTTATATAGTGTCCATTTCCAATTTGTAAGGTTTCATTCATAATTGATATTTTTTGCATACAATTGTGTGGTCCTGTCTCTTAAAACATTCACCAATGACAATCCTTTATGGCCAGAGTTGGAAGATGTCCAAAATGGGCTTATAGTATGGTGATGTCAGGCAGGCAGAGAAGTTGGTACCTAATTTGCATTAGCAACTTTAACTCCTACAGTTTTCAACCCAGATCCCTGAAACTTCACAGAAGATTGCAAAGTTTATGTTGAAGTTATGCACATCCTGTTATGGAATCGTTTGAGGAAATGTTTGTCATTTTTTCAGACGTTTTTTTATTATATGTTGAAAAAATAGTTATGGTAGAAAGTTGATATTTGATACGATGAGAAGATGATAAAAGAAATTGGACCATGTCTAGAAATGTCCAGAATATAAGGATCAAGGGTAACAGTTAATAGAAATCAAGGCAACACTAATATGTTATTGCAGTCTATAAAAAAATTGAAAACAACACGTTTAATAATTTCATGCGTCCGAAGCGCTTTTCTGGATTTACCTTCATCAGGAACACTCAAAGCCAAACATTTGAAATCCGAGGATGTATAAGTACCGAAACGTTTGAAGAGCTATATGTCAAAAATACATAAAATAAATAGCCAAATTCATCTAAAGTCAACTGAACATGACCCCCAGTGTGATGTATTCACATCTTACAGTAACAACACACAAATCTAACATCCTGGTGATTTACAATCTTGTTTTTATCATATATCTTATATATATGTTGAATACATATGTTTTTTGCTTATATATTTGGATTGTAACACCAAGTCTAGTGATAAAACACATTAAAAAACATCATGTTCATTCTAAAGGGTAGATAGGGTGTACAATTTAGAAGTTTGCTTTCTTATAAGTTTTTTCTTCAAAATGATTTGTTATACAGCAGTATACTGTTTAAATATTTGACAATTGCTGGCAAACAAATGCTTTTAATGGTTTGGTTTAAATGCCATTTAATAGTGCATTTATTTAAATTTAGAGAGCAAAATAAATTAATTAAAAGGAACCTGTTAAAAAATAGACTTTCAAAGCATGAAAATGATTTAACAGTTCAAATACAATATTTTTAAAACCATTTATAATATTATAAAAAATCTTAGGTAATTATAAGTAATAATCTTTTTTTCTTCTGAATTTATGATGTTCAATTAGGAATATGCATGCATGCGCTCACAAACTTAAAAGTTTTTAAATTATATATAATTTATATTTTCCTCGAAGATTAAAAAAACACTAGGCCCACCTAGGAATAGTATACTAACATTTATATGTATATTTCAATGTCTTATGTCCCTCACGACCAACCGAATTTCAAAAAATATAGAATCTAGAAATTATTTTTAAGTTCTTAAAGGGGTGGTATTCTACAGAGAGTGCATAACATTCTGCACTATTTTTTTTATCAGTTAAGAATTGAAGTACTCTTATAGAGCAGTAAGAGGAAAACACTTCTATCTTCTTGATCTCCTTGAGAGATATCCTATTCTTATGTGTTATAAGTACAGAGTATTCTTATAACCACCTAACAAACTCGGGATTGCAGGAATACATTATGTATGTGTACAGCAAGTAAATTCTTGTTTAATTGTTTTACATTTTTTCTTGTTAAATTGTTTTACATTTTTTCTTGTTTTCTTGTGTTACATTTTGTCCTATCTGGGTCTTTATGATTCTTTATTCATGTAGCTTACTATAATATATAGGTTCTGCTCAGTCTTGAAGTATCTATAGTTGCTTAAACCTATGTCATTTGGACTCTCAGAGTGGTGGATAATTGTCTCATTGGCAATCATGCCACATCTTATTTTTTTATTGGTAAATTTTTCATTTATATGTGAACTGATGCAGTGCATTGACTTATAATTGCCTAAATTCTCTTCATATGGACTCTGTTGGGTAGTTGTCTCATAGGCAATAATTTCACATTTGCTTATTTTATATTGATAAAATGTTTCATCTGTGTTCTTTGTGAACCGACACAGTGATTGTTTAGTGTTATTTGTATGAGGCTGCATAAACAATTTTAAGGGTTTGCAACTGACAACCATTTTATTGGTTCCCATACACCAATCTGGCGATGCCATTTCTTACTCTGCACTTGCAATTCATTGAGTCTGATTGTTGTTGATTGTTTGCAACAGATAATCTGAAATGGACATCCGATTTATGGGACTGCATTGCAACTGATAAACTATTTCAATTATGTGAAGTGGTTTTCAGACACTTCATTTAAATCTTAAACAAAAGTGTTTATAGTCCAGACTGTCTCCATAAATGTTGAATTTGAAATTGATGAAAACAAAATAAAACATAATTCAGAATATGGAGTAATCTATATTGAATCTTAGGAAAGAGGGCACTTATGTCCTGTTATCTTTTTCGCAAAGTGATTTTAAATTTGGCAACCAAATCATTATGCAAATGAGCTTATACTTGAAACTCACGTGAAAATTTCCACCTGAATTGATATGAATCTCACATGAAATTTCATGTGAGATTTACATATAAGCTTAAATTGTTTGAGTTGAACTTCATGTGAGATTCACATGAATCTAAATTCATGTGAAATTTATGTGAGAGAAATTTCCCTGTGTTCTTACATAAGGATGATTTAAAGATAACTTTTGGTATTTCGAGCAAGTTACTTTTAACAGTTACAGCCCTTGCTTTATGAAACTTGATAACTGACCATAATTTTTTTCGGTATTGTGAAAAGATTCAGTTAATTTTAGGCGTTTGCGAAATGAGATGTAAAAACAAAGTTGCTTACATGCATCCACTTCATTTGAACTCTGGTGGGTAGTTGTCTCATTAGCAATCCCCTATAACACATGCATCTCCTTATTTTTAGTTTGTGTTTCATTCAAGTATTACAGGCTCATTTTTTTTTATGTAAAGAATTTTCAGCGTAAATCATTCGCAGCACCTATTTACTGAGGATGTTATATTTGACAAGAAGATGTAGACCCTAACACCTTTATGTGTTCTGATTGATGTAGGGAATAGAGTGTAACAACATGATTGATGTTAAATTAGAACAAATAACATTAGAGATTGTGTTTTTGTTGTAACATGTTAAAATGTATCATCTAAGGTGGTTTATATCTTTACTTTATTTCTGTATTCCTTAATTTTTTCAGGTCATTTTTCTGTATTCTTTATATTTTTTTGCCCACTGTTCTCTATTCTTTATATTTAAGCATCCATTTATTCTCTATTCATTTTTTTGTCCTATTTTTCTCTATTCCTTATTTTTTGGTCCTTTTTCCATATGTTTGACCCATTATTCTCTATTGTGTAAACCCCATTGAGACCCTCATATCTGTACACTTTTTGCAGAAACATTACTTTTAAACATACACTATAGTCTATAATGTGAATTTTTAAAAGTTTTTTTTCAATATTTATGTACCGGTAATGCATCATAAAATGAAGTATCATTTTTTTGTTAATATATTTTTGGGTCAATGACTATAGTGGCAATATCCTGCACATAGAATTTATTTATTTGTAGTGTAATAGGAATACATGGAAATTTGCAAAATTTGAATGTATAAAGAGGAAGTAGATTTAAAAACTCAGAAATTGTCAAAAAAAAAATAAATGATCTTTTTCCTGGTGGCAAAATTCAAGCACTGCATGCTTTAATTACTGACATTATATACCGTAGTACAAATAGTATTGTTACATGAAATAATAAGTTTATTATTGGTATTTGTTTCAAATTCATATCGGAAATATTAAATTATTTAATTTAATTTGTTATTACAAAACTGATGAAGTTTATTAAATCTGAATGATGGTTTTTTTATTGTTCTGATACAGATTTTTTTTTAGATTTTTATTGTTTTATTAGCCATTTACTCCATAATTGGTCACCTTTTAAGCATCCATGTGGTACCTCAGTATAAAACTTGGAAATATCTGACATGCATTTCCTTGATGGTATAATTTTTGTTTGCTGTGCATAACTGGTATTATGTATACCCTGTTGCCTCTGAAACTTTTGTTTAGTTTACATGTATTAATTAGTTTGTGATTAGGCCAGTTTTAGTGGAACCATTATATTAGTGGAAGGTCAATGATATTTGGTATGCAGTTGTATTAGCATTGGCACATCTGATTTCCATGGAGATTAATTGGCCCTCCCCATCAGTCATGGTCTATTGACTTTGATACTCTTCCTTAGTTTACATGTATTAGTTTGATATTAGGTCAGTTTTAGGGGAACCATTAGTGGTAGCTCAATGGTATTTGGTATGCAGTCGTATTAGCATTGGCATGTCTCATTTCCATGGAGATTATTTTGCTGCTCCCCCTCGGTCAAGCATGGTCTATTGACTGAATATTTTGCATAGTTAACATGTTAAATTTTGTGATTAGATCAGTTTAAGTTAAACCACTGATAGTAAGTCAGTGATAGTTGGTATGCAGTTTTATAAGCATTTGCAAGTCTCATTTACATGGAGATTATATGGCCCCCACCCTATCATCATTGTTCATTGACTTTAAAACTTTTGTATATTTTACAAGTTAAAGTTTGTGTTAAGGTTAGTTAAAAAGGAACCACTTATGATAAGTCAATGGTATTTGGTATGCAGGTATATAAGCATAGGCAATTCTCATTTCCATGCAGGTAATAGGCCCTGCACCTTCAGTCATGGTTCATTGACTATGAATGTTTTGCATAATTTATATGTTTAAATATTGCCATTTTAATTTCAATATTTGCAGTTTACTTTCAAAATAATGAAAAGCTAGACATATCATATTTTATGTAATAAGAATATGAAAACAAGTTGATTTGCCATATATATGTTCTATTTTAAGACACTATGCTGGTTGATGTGGAGAGTAGTTAGTTATCTATTCTTTTTATATTTTCAGCATTTACTGATGTTCAAAAAATAATAACAGATCAAAAGTTTGGTGAACTTTCTAGTAGATGGAGAGATGTAAGTTTGTTATTTACTTTAAGCTTCTATGGAGAGATGTAAGTTTGTTATTTACTTTAAGCTTCTAAAGTTCTATGGAGAGATGTAAGTTTGTTATTTACTTTAAGCTTCTATGGAGAGATGTAAGTTTGTTATTTACTTTAAGCTTCTATGGAGAGATGTAAGTTTGTTATTTACTTTAAGCTTCTCTGAAGAGATGTAAGTTTGTTATTTACTTTAAGCTTCTGAAATCAATCATTAGTGAACATATTCCATCATTTAAGAGGGAATGTGACGGGTTTGATTGTACCCTCTTTTGTAAAGAAAAGTTTGATGCTATCGTTTCCTTATCCAAATGACTGATTTGCTAATTGACTCGCCAGTTTTTGTATCTTTTAAATGCTAAGAGCTTCAGGGGCTTCTTCATCATGTTTATTATCACCACGAAATTGCACGTCATTTAAGAATTTGGGCAACAAAACTGCTGTTGGGGGATCTTTATAGAATAATGACATTTTTGTTTTTGATATTGACTCTATCAGCAAGAATATCAAGCGAGCCCACTAGGGGAGCTGGGATTTGAACTGATGAAGTCAGTATAAAAAGATAAAATGCCATATTGAAACTGACCAGGTACAAGATGTATGGTTTTGTTGTAAATAGAATAATCTGACATGAAAGATTGCATTGTTAGATATCAGCCTATTGACTTTGCCAGTAAAATTTATAAGATAAATCATGATTTATTATTTTACAGATAGTACATGTATAATATACTCCGTGAAAAAAGTTTAGCAACAAATATTTTTAATATTATATTTAAAAATCAATTATACTTCTTAATATAACAATACACAGATTATTATAAGAAAGAAAATAAATGCAATTCTTAATCAACAAAAAGAATTAAGTTATTTTCACAATTTTTATTTTAAAGTTTTTAAAAATTCAAACATATGTAGCTGAACTTTTTTTAATCAGTATACATAGGTTTATTGATTGAAATGCCATTTAAAATTTTAAAATGTTTTTCTTCCAAATCTGTATCATTGTGTACATGTGTTGCAGCATATTAAAACATGTATATCAATAAGTAGTAATCAGAAAGTTTTATTTCAAATCAAGGAACAGTAAATGCATACATATAGTTTCAAAGATTTTTTGTAAGAAATTTATCTTGAACATGTTGAGGGGTGTAACTGAAAATTGAAAAAAATGTTGGAACATATTGTTTCACCCCTGTCCATCTGCCAAATAGGGTAAATGGTTTGTCCAGCTTACTCTTGCATCAGTTTCAAATTAAAAGTTTATATTATCATCATTATGCAGAGTGTTTATATATATCGGTATACTAAGGGTGTGCATATTTTTATGATGTTATTTTTATTAACAGTTGGTAGCAGTATTTGGAGGTTTTGCTGAGTGCCTGTGTAGTGATGATTTACTCTGTTATTTTTATTTACAGTTGGTAGCAGTATTTGGAGGGTTTGCTGTCTGTGTAGTGATGTTTCACTCTGTTATTTTTATTTACAGTTGGTAGCAGTGTTTGGAGGGTTTGCTGCCTGTGAATTGATACGTTACTCTTATTATTTTTATTTACAGTTGGTAGCAGTGTTTGGAGGGTTTGCTGCCTGTGCAATGATATCTTACTCTGTTATTGTCGAGCCTGCGACTTTTGTTGCAGAAAGCTCGACATAGGGATAGTGATCCAGCGGCGGTGGCGGAGGCGGCGTTAGCTAACTTCTTAAAAGCTTTATATTTTAGAAGCTAGAAGACCTGGATGCTTCATACTTTGTATATAGATGCCTTATGTTACGAAGTTTCCGTCTGTCATATGTCCATTGTCCTTGACCTCATTTTCATGGTTCAGTGACTACTTGAAAAAAAAGTCAACATTTTTTGTAATGTTAATTTCTTTCTTATTATGAGTAATAGGATAACTATATTTAGTATGTGCGTACCTTGCAAGGTCCTCATGCCCGTCAGACAATTTTCATTTGACCTCGACCTCATTTCATGGATCAGTGAACAAGGTTAAGTTTTCGTGGTCAAGTCCATATATCAGATACTATAAGCAGTAGGTCTACTATATTTGGTATATGGAAGGATTGTAAGGTATACATGTCCAACTGGTAGGTGTCATCTGACCTTGACCTCATTTTCATGGTTCAGTGGTCAAAGTTATGTTTTTGAGTTTTGGTCTTTTTTTCTAATACTATATGCAATAGGTCAACTATATTTGGTGTATGGAAATATTTAATGATGTACATGTCAGTCTCGCAGGTTTTATTTGACCTTGACCTCATTTTCACGGTTCATTTCTCAGTGTTAAGTTGTTGTGTTTTGGTCTGTTTTTCTTCAACTATAAGCAATAGATCAACTATATTTGTTGTATGGAAGGATTGTAAGGTGTATATGTCTGTCTGGCAGGTATCGTCTGATCTTGACCTCATTTTCATGGTTCATTGGTCAATTTTAAGTTTTCATGGTTAAGTTTGTTTCTTGGATACTATAAGCAATAGGTCAACTATATTTAATGCATAAATTGATTGTAAGGTGTACATGTCTATCTGGCATGGTTCATCTGACCTTGACCTCATTTTCATGGTTCATTGGTCAATGTTAAGTTTTCTTGGTTGAGACTGTTTCTTAGAAACTATAAGCAATAGGTCAACTATGTTTGGTTTATTGAATGATTGTAAGGTGTACACGTATTTCTAGTTTGGTTTATCTGACCTTGACTTTAATTTCTTGGATCATGTTAAGTTTATGTTTTACTTGTAGTAAAGCTTTATATTTAGGACTATCAACATAAAATCAATGGTTAGTAAAGAAGGCGAGACATTTCAGTGTGTGCACTCTTGTTTTTATTTACAGTTGGTAGAAGAGTTTGAAGGGTTTGCTGCCTGTGTAGTGATGTTTTACTCTGATATTTTTATTTACAGTTAGTAGCAGTATTTGGCGGGTTTGCTGCCTGTGTACTGATGTTGAACTCTGTTATTTGTATTTACTGTTGGTAGCAGTTTTTGGAGGGTTTTATGCCTGTGTAGTGATGTTTAACTCTGTTATTTTTATTTACAGTTGGTAGCAGTATTTGGAGGGTTTGCTGCAGGGCTTCCAAAATTATTTTTAGCCAGCCGGACATTTTATATATTATCCCGATTTTAATCCCTTAAGACTAAATAAATAAAAGGCAATTATGGTAATCAGTTGCCGAGTTGGCCATCCCAATGATTGACATTAAAAAAAACCGATATTAAACTTTCTTTGATTCAGATTCAAAGTTCTGACGTAAACTGTTAAATTGGCAGTGCATCATTCGAAGTGTGCAACATCAGCGTACTTATATCTGCTTAGACTCTTTATTTGTGCAAAATAACGTTGTCAAAAACTTTACTTTCGTTTTTAAATCTAAACCGGATGTTATCTTGACAATGGTAAAACATGGACCAGAGACGGATACGTAAATTCCGTGTACGTATGCAAAGCATGAATGAGTGTAAGTAGCTCTTTCTACGTTATTTCTTCAAGAAAATATTCGAAATAAACGTTAGATAAAGGTATCAATGACAATTTAAGCATTTTTTGAAGAAATTAGGATGCATAATTAAATTTCACACCTGCGCACATGCGCACACGTGTACTGGTTCAAACAGAGACATGTCTCTGGTTCAAACAACATGGTTATGACGATTTTTCATTTTCACCTTTTTAATTTTTTCATCAAATCATATTTGCAAACGTATTTCTGATAATTTTAATCTTTTTAACTAAATTAATTGGATGCAAACCGCTGAAATGTAAGAAAATAACTTTGAATAGATCGATCAATGTCTGGTTCAATATAATTTACCTGTCACCTGAACAGGTAAATTTCAGCTGTTCGACAACTAATTAGCCTTGATTAAAATGAGAAGGTATTAAAGTAGGGGTTGTTTTGATAGTGCTTAATGATCATGTCACTTTTATGACCGGAAATGTGTGGCTGTTAAAGGCAAAAGGTTGGGTCAAAAAGATCGCGAATTATGTTAAAATGACCGTCTCTTAAGCCTTGAAAACTAAAAAGTAGATGTCCGTTTCATGCTTTGCCCAGCCGGACTTTTACCGGACATTATACAAATGTCCGGAATATATGACCGTTTTGGAAGCCTTGGTTTGCTGCCTGTGTAGTAATGTTTTACTCTATTATTTGTATTTACAGTTGGTAGCAGTATTTGGAGGGTTTGCTGCCTGTGTATTGATGTTTTACTCTGTTATTTTTATTTACAGTTAGTAGCAGTATTTGGAGGGTTTGCTGCCTGTGTAGTGATGTTTTACTCTGTTATTTTTATTTACAGTTGGTAGCAGTATTTTGAGGGTTTTCTGTCTGTGTAGTGATATTTTACTCTTTTATTTTTATTTACAGTTGGTAGCAGTATTTGCGGGTTTGCTGCCTGTGTAGTGATGTTTTACTCTGTTATTTTTATTTACAGTTGGTAGCAGTATTTGGAGGGTTTGCTGTCTGTGCAATGATATTTTACTCTGTTATTTTTATTTACAGTTGGTAGCAGTATTTGGAGGGTTTGCTGCCTGTGTAGTGATAGGACTGTTGTTTGTATTCTGTATGCCATTGGCTGGTTGTATAACATGTTGTTGTTACTGTTGCTGTAAGAAATGTGGGAAAGCCTCATCAAAAGAAGATCCAAAGAATGCCAAATGTAAAAGAGTTACATTTGCATCCTTCTTGTTTATATTTACTGTGTTAATTTTGTAAGTATGCAGCTGGTATAATCTCTAAATACTTTCGATTGATATATTTTCATGTGTACCAATTTCCGTGAATTGCGGAAAACTGGCATATTCATAAATATTTGATTTAGTGGTTTTTGTCTAAGTCAGCATATATTCCTAGAGAGCATTTGTAATTGGTTGAACATTTAAATTCGTGGTTCCCTATACCAATGAAATCCATGAAAATTAGGGAATAATAATGAATCCACAGTATAAGTCATTTTTATACCCCTGCTTTAAAAAAGTGGGGGTATACTGTTTTTCCTCTGTCCGTCCTTCAGTCCATCCATCTATCCGTCAGTCCGTCTGTCTGTCCCATGAATATTTTTGTCGCAACTTTCTCAGGAACTACATTACAAGGATTTCTGAAATTTGGTTTCAGGGTTTGTATAAGTCAGTTATACCGTGAATGCGTTTTCAGATAAATCACTCAACAACTTCCTGTTTACCGAACACTTGTATCATTTTACACATGATAGCCAAGTTGAAAATTTTAGTCACATTTTTCTCAGGAACTACTATACTAGGATTTCTGAAATTCAGTTTCAGGGTGTATATATATATCAGCTTTACCGTGTGATGCGTTTTCAGATAAATCACTCGACAACTTCCCTGTTTACCGAACACTTGTATCATTTTACACATGATAGCCAAGTTGAAAATTTTAGTCACATTTTTCCTCAGGAACTACTATACTAGGATTTCTGAAATTTGGTTTCAGGGTTTATACATATCAGCTTTACCGTGTGATGCGTTTTCAGATTCATCACTCAACAACTCCCTGTTTACCGAACACTTGTATTATTTTACACATGATAGCAAAGTTGAAAATTTTCGTCACATTTTTCTGAGGAACTACAATACAAGGATTCCTGAAATTTGGTTTCAGGGTTTATATAAGTCAACTATACCGTGTGATGCGTTTTCAGATTCATCACTCAACAACTTCCTGTTTATGGAAATATTTTGGTGGGGTATCATCAGTGAGCAGTAGCTCGCAGTTTCACTTGTTATGAGAGTGTTCTTAGAGATCACTCAGATATTCAAACAGAATTATTATGAACATGGATCAAAATTATCTGGTGATCTGAATTAAACCATGGTATTTTCTGATATTCAATTAGTTGTTTCAGACTTCACACAAAATGTAATATGTTAAAATTAATTTTTCCTTGACTTCTTAATTTTGTGGTTACAATTTCCTAGTATTTGTATGGAAAAATTTAATTCACGCATTAAGTTACTATTAATAACTAGTTTGAATTGATATACATTTTGCGCTAGTATCTGAGTAGAAAAAAATAAAATTCATCGAAGGTCCTCTGATATATATGTATAATCATTAGAGAACTCCAATGCTTGACACTAAAAAATTCCCAGTACATATTCTTGACATTCTCTATATTATTAATCTATGACAGTGGCTGGTCAAGGACTTTCAAAAAGGGGGACAAACAAAAAATATGAGGGTGGTCTGGAAGTCAAGAATATGAAAATTGAACCAGAAAAACCACAAATTATTTGCCATAGCATATCCCATCTCCCACTGGATCTGCATATGGAACATCTTCATGTTAATATAGGAACAATATAATATTCATCATTTTCTTATTTCTGAAAAATGAAGTGAATACATGAAAATTGTTCTTTTGTGTATTCTGAAGCAACAGTGTAAAAATGTAATATAAATTTTCATTGATTTTTCTTTTTTAATGGATAAACAAGGTAAATCAAGCAGTTATCACTATTTCATCGTTTGCTTGTAAGAAATCATTAAACTCCTCACATCCCGATAAAAACCATCTGTAACCATTTTGTAAACATATAATTTGGTATTGAATAGTACTTGTTATGTTTTGTGGGTGTGTGACATTTTTTTTATAAAAAGAATCTGGGTCGAAATAGACTACCTGTGTAAAATGCTCATATCAATTTCAGTTTTTTATTCAAAAAGGTAAAATAAGATAATTTTTTGTCATTTTGTTTTATATACCTTATGTATACTTAACAACACAAATAACACAACACATCTTACTATATATAGAAGTTTCACAATTTCTTGAATTTGGTACAAATTTGTAGAAATCTATTTTAATTTATGCATGATCTTCAAATTAATGCAGATTTTACAGAGAAATTTTCATTTTAGTGGCGACAAAAGTTAAAAATCAAAAGTCTGAGATAAGTGAATTTCTCAAATTGGTCATCAGACAAGAATTGGATTAAGAAACTGAAAGTCAAAGTCGTTTCTTTGTTTTCAGGATAAAAGATACACACGACTTTAGTTACACAAATTTGGCAACATTTTTTTGTTTTTGGTTAAAAATGTGTATTTTGAGATGTCAAAAGTCAAAGTTAAGAAAATTTCATTTACACAGAATTTGGTGTTTATGACTTCCGAAAGTGTTTTGTCAAAACTTTGACTCATTACAATCATTTAAAAAAAAGTTATATGCAAAAGAATTTTTACTCCAAAGAAATTTGTGGAGGTGGTGCGTTTCTTTTGTTGCTGAGAATAGATTATTGACTGTTGATGTAACTGATATCATTTGTAACAAACTGTTTCACAGGTCTTATTTCTCATTTGTTACTGAAAGCATTAGGTAAAGGAAATAAAAAAAGATAAGATGACAATAGGTATGCATTTCTCACTTCTACTCTCCTCCAAAACTTAATTTAAATTCATATTTTTAATAAACAGTAAAGTATTTAGTCAACTTTGACAGCCTGAAACTGCTTCATCAGAATTCATCCAAAGCTCTTTGAAATGCTTACCATGAAGCTCTTGAATTTATGCATTCATAGGCTTGTCTTATTCACTTATTGACACAGTGCATAGATGGGTTTCTGACAAAAAAATCTTTAAATAAGAATTTTATTCCAGATTTTCATAATCTTTTGATAATGTCAAGTTGTTGTAAATTATATGCATATTATGTTACATGAAACTACAAAATTCTAAGAAGTAACCTTTACTGTATTTGATGGCTCATACATTAATTGTTGAAAACATGACAGTCTTGCTGCAGCAACCTAAAAGTTTGCAACTTGAATAAAAATGATGAGGAATTATTTAAAATAATAATAATGAATAAAGTAAATATAAATAAGGAGACATGGTAATGAGAAAAAACTTCCACCAGAAACCAAATGACGAAGATGTTAACTAAAGGGCACTGTAAGACCTTCAACAAATGTCAATCAGACAGCAGTCCAACAACACCTATCAGTCAGCATACACACAACAATGAACAAGCCTCAACAGTGTAGGGCAAACTCTATATTATCTAAGGTTCCAATGTCTCATAGCAAATGGGATGTTCTTTGTGCAACTTCACAAAAATCTCCTTGATAGTGTTAAACAGTCTCAAATAATACATAACTGATTAGGATTGTCTTCTTTTAGTATTATTTCAGAAGCTGTTTCTATCATATTAATAAAACCAGTTGTCCATTTTCAGAGTTGGTGCTATATTTTCTGTGATATCCAATGAAATCCTACATTCCAAATTAGAAAATGTCAATGACCAGGGACCAATTGGACAAGTAAAGTCATCGCTGAATGGTTTAGTAGATTTTGCTGGAGAGACTGCAGATGTAAGTATAGGGTACAGTTAGAAATATTTTAATACGTTGTAAATGTTCACAACAACAATTTTCTTGCACATTTATCTTGCAAAACTACAAAAAATCTTTAGATCCTGATATACATTGAAATCTGTTCTATTGCATTGTGAAAAATGAATTCTTTAATTAGGACATATGATAAATATTCTTCTGGTTAAAATTGTGTTAATCATACACATGTGTATTCTGAACAAAAACTTCAGTCCAGCTATCTTTTCCGCAGAGTATGTCACATCTTTCATACTCAAGTATACCTTGATGAATCCTTACAAACTTTTTACACAATGAATGTAAGGTTCAAAGAAGACTAGCAACATTTTAATTATGATGATCTTCAAAATAGTAATTCAAGGAGGTAAGGGACTTTAATCATCAAAACCATATTATTTTTTAAGTTTGCTGTAACCATAGAAAATATTTTGACAATGTATTGACTTTTCTTAATTTTGACCATTTTTGTCTCGCCTTGATGGAGTCAAAAAGCGAGACATAGGCTGCGGCGTCAACAATGTATTAGTTTGTGATTAGGTCTAGTTTATGGTGAACCACAAGTGATAGGTCAATGATATTTTGTATGCAGTTGTATTAGCATTGGCACATCTCATTTCCATGGAGATTATTTGGCCCTGCCCCTTCAGTCATGGTCTATTGACTTTGAAACTTTTGCTTAGTTTACATGTATTAGTTTGAGATTAGGTCAGTTTATGGGGAACCGTTTGTGGTAGGTCAATGATATTTGGTATGCAGTTGTATAAGCATTGGCGTATCTCATTTCCATGGAGATTATTTGGCTCCGCCCCCTTAGTCATGGTCTATTGACTTTGAAACTTTTGCTTAGTTTACATGTATTAGTTTGTGATTAGGTCAGTTCAAGGGGAACCATTTAGTGGTAGGCCAATGTTAATTGGTATTCAGTTGTATAAGCATTAGCACATCTCATTTCCTTGGAGATTATCTGGCCCCACCCTTTCAGTCATGGTCTATTGACTTTGAAACTTTTGCTTAGTTTACAAGTTAATGTTTGTGTTTATGTTTCTTTAAAGGGAACGACTTATGATAAGTCAATGGTATTTGGTATGCAGTTGTATTACCATTGGCACATCTCATTTCCATGGAGATTGTTCAGCCATGTACCTTCAGTCATGGTTCATCGACTTTGAATATTTGCATTACTTACATGTTCAAGTATTGCTATTTTAATTTCAACATTTGCATTATCAAAATTACAAAAAGGCGAGACATATCTCTGTGATAACAGTTTATTAGGTTAGGCATCCTAGAACTATGAAACTTTATAATCTTGAAAAATAATAGGCTATTTTTCATATGTTTCACAATTACTCACGTCTGGAACATCCTTACTGGTCACTTAATGTTTTTTATGTCAATTAGGGAGTAGGAAGTTGATTCCCAAGACTTAAAGCTATTTCCAAATTATTTTTGTTTATCAGAAGACTGATTAGTTTATTCAAGTTAGACTGCCTCGGAAATGTTTGTATGCATATCCAAAAAAATTTGCAAAATCTTAGAACAAGTGGTCAATTTCTATATGCATTTTAAATGGTTTTGATGATTGGATTAATCTCTTGTTACATGTTACTTCCCATCATATCCATTCTGAAAAATGCACTCAACATTTTTAATCAAATGAATCTTTGATTTGTGGCATAGCTGTTTAAGACTATTATTTATAGACAAAATAATTAAAATAAATAGATGGGTATATGGGGTATTAATAATAAAAAAGAGCTAATGGAACCTTGAATCATGTGTTGGCCTTTACACCATATATAGATATTTATAAATCTCACACCATCTTAATAATTGTTAATTAATTCATTTTCTTTTCATTTCAGGAAATTGTAAAATCCTCTGAAACTACTGTTAAAGACACAGTGAAAGAACTATTAAAAATAATTAAAGGTAATTTATTATTTTAGATATTGCTTAAGGGTTCTGTCCTATATGTTTCATACTCCTATAATCCTATTTATAGAATACTGCCATTTAGCAGTTTTATTTAACTGTTAAAATATGAAATATAGATTTGGATTTGATTCAGAAGTTTCAGACTTTTTATCTTGTAACATGCGAAATTTACCAGGATAAGTAGAATGTTACACGACTGAGATATTTGAAAATATACATTTGAAAGTAAGAAGCTTAAATGCTGGAATGGATCTAAAAACTATCAAACCCTTTGTATTCTTATTAAATTCTTAATCTTCTTCATTAATTACTACTGATTATTAAAGATAAAAGATTTTTAGTTATGGAAGTTATCCTGTACAGATTGAAGTTCAATTACGATTATGCAAATAACAAGTATTGTAATCTATTTCTAGCTCCTCTGATAGTTTTCCCCCTTACTTTTAAATGCTTTATATTAATGATACATTATTCAAAATATGTAAGTTGTTATATTTTTGCTGTTGTTGCATTAACCTTGTTGCTTCCTAACTTTATGGGATGGTAATGGTCATTTCAAATGAAAAAATTATATAAATTAAAAAATGTTTATGTCCCTGCGCACGTCGTATGTCAATATGTATGTCCCAAAATTAGTTTCCGTTCTCTAACTTAAGTTTGCCTCAACCAAATGTTATGAAACTTATACACAATGCTTATTACCACAAAACTCAGATCAAGTTTGAATTTGGGTGGCGTCACTTTTACCGTTCTTGAGTTATGTCCCTTTATAACGTTATATGCAAGCAGAGGCATCATCTGTGTCCCATGGACACATTCTCCATTTATTTTTTATTGATTTTCGTAATTTATTTCAATATGAGAATATTTATTCAAACAAAAATACTCAGTCCTCAACCAAAACAGTCTTCAGAAATTCTAACTAGTACATGAGTTTCAACAGTACAGCTAAAATTAAGATAAATTATAGTTAAAAGTATCATTCTTTTCTTCTAGATATACCATTCACAAGTAATAGTTTTGTCACATTTTAATCGTAGAAAATGATTTAAACTAGTTGGTTCTATATATAAATGTAAAGATAAGTTTTAGATTTTTATTGGACAAAGTTTACTTATAAAAATGCAACCCAAGGACACTATTTTAATTATTGAATTTTTTTAAAACTTTTATCAGGTGCATCTGAACAAACTGTAGAAGATATACAGAATTCCCTTAATGCTACAGACCTTTTGAACCAGGTAGAGAGTTTAGGACAAAGTAAGTTGACTATGCTTGTGTCATGGTTAAGTCAATATCTGTTCATTCATGCGTGTCACTTCAGCCATTCATAAATTATACGGTGAAGAAACTTACTGCATGGAAAAAAATCAATACATCTTAATGTGAGGCACAGACAAACTATCACATAGTAGAAGATTGAGTGCAGACTGCAGTGAGTTGTACCCCCTACAGTGGTGATAGATAGAAGTAATTTTCAACTTTATAATAAACATCTTTGTCACTGATACTCCACTAGATAGATACTTTATACTGTGTTACCATAATAGCTAGTCTGCTGATGAAAATATAACATCATTTAATTAGTGGTAATGTTGGTGTAATCAGTGCTTGCTTCAGTTATAAATGAAATAGATTCAATATGATGCTGTTTTCTGAATTATGATTAATAATTGAATTGACAAATTGATTTAACAATTTTCAGATAATTGCTATAATTGGAAACTATAAGCTATATAAGCCCCGGCAATGGACATTTCAGCCCCGCAATTTTAGGACATTTGAGCGAAAATAAAACATAAGCTTAGGACATTTGAGCGAAAATAAAACATAAGCTTAGGACATTTGAGCGAAAAAAATTAAGAATGATGGAGGAGTACCTCTTCCGTTTGCCAGATATAATCTGTTACCCCTGCTCACCACGGGTAAAACCCGGCAATTGCATTATTTACAAGTCAGTTCGGGCTTGAAATTTATATCCTAGCTTCTGACATAAAAAAAATCCCTTGTTATTTCCTACTGGCAGTACCGCGAATGCAAGTCCAAGAGAATCTGTTCCTTCTTCTTATCTGTTTGGCTCTGAGGTGCATAAAGGGGAAACAACAATTTGTCTGTAATGTAAGTTTCAGTCAAGTTATAGGCAAAGTCTATACAAGGCTTGTCGTTAGGTCATGAAATCCTCAACAAAACAGTCTGCTACTTCCTCTGGAGCTAAGAAACCTATCACAAACACTCCTTTCAGCCATTTACTGATATCTGAATCTACGTCTTTGTATTGTTTACTTAATCAAACTTTCTGCTTTTGCATAGCCAATGTACTATAGTAGAATGGATTGGTAAGAAAAGATCAACTCAGGACTACACTACCATTTACTAGCCAGAACCGGTCGAATTACTCGGGTGTAAAACCAAATAAAATTTATTTATTTTAAAAACTAACTCTTTTTTCTTACTTTTAAAAAATCTTTTCCTTATTCATATAAAAGTATTACACGAAATTTCGCTCAAATGTCCTATTTGAAAATACAGGTAAGGTTAATATTCCGGCGCTAAAATGTCCTATGATGTTGGCGCTCAAATGACCGACCCTATGTACATTTTTTATTTTCGCTCAAATGCACATAAGCCCAGTGTCTTAAAAAAAATGTTTCATTCCAATAGTTTTAGAATTATGTTATAAAAAATATTCTATATATGAAGAAATAAATGCCTGTTCTATTACTGTTGATTCATTATTATGCATTGGAAACCAATTGTTTAGATTTTGGGGTTACAGGTTAATCAATAATTTATGTGTTTAACAAAGAATAAATGTTCTATATGCTTGATTACAAACTTTTGCAAAACCAAGAAATCAAATATTCATAAAAATACAATTTTGCCTCAATCCATGAAATTGTAACCCACGAAAAATAAATGAATCCACAGTAATAAGTTTCAAATATATTTTTAGATGCTAACATATCTGCTGAAAGTCTTACTGTTGTTACTAGAGAAGTCACAGCCCTGAAGGATCTAGGAGGAAATACTACACAGAAATTAAATGATGTGAGAAATAATATCACAGCGATTTGCAATGGTTCCAATATTCCAAAATGTCCCAGCACAAGTGGTCTTAATTTGGCAACAGATTTCTCACAGGTAATTTTTATACGACCGCAAAAAAATTTTGTGGTCGTATATTGGTATGACGTTGGCGTCGTCGTCGTCGTCGTCGTCCGGCGTCGTCGTCCGAATACATATCGGTTTTCGCACTCTAACTTTAGTTTAAGTGAATGGATCTTTTTGAAATTTGACCATAAGGTTAAATACCACAAAAGGAAGGTTGGGATTGATTTTGGGGGTTATGGTACCAACAGTTAAGGAATTAGGGGCCAAAAAGGGGCCAAAAATAAGCATTTTCTAGTTTCCAGACAATAACTGTGGAACGGTGTATGGATCTTTCTGAAATTATACTACAAGTTTCCATACCACAAAGGGATGGTTAGGATTTGCTTTGGGGGGTTATGGCTCAAACCGTTTTGGAATTAGGGGCAAAAAAGGGGGAAAAACAAGGTTGTCCTGGTTAATGGACAAATACTTTAGTACAAAACATAATTTAAAGCAGTGTAAGGGAGATAAATCAAATACATCATTGAAATTATCTCCCTTACACTGCTTTTAAATTATGTATAAAGTAATGGTTAATGAACAATAAAGATAATCTAAAACAGTGTAAGGGAGGTAATCCAAATACAATGTTTTGGTTACTTCCCTTACACTGCTATTAAATTATGTTTAAAGAAATGCATATTTATAAAGGAAGACCAGTAAAAATATCTGCAAATGTTTTCATCTTTTTTTTTTACAAAAAAATCCATATGAAAGATTTGACACTATATTTTTATTAATTCTATTATAAAATAGATTAAGTTAGCACTATGGTAAATTTAAATGGGTAATTATGGTTGCCAACTCCATTGGAAATTTGAATTGAGATTATGACCATATCTTGAGGGAAAGAATTTTTTTGGGGGAAAAAGAATTTAAAGAAGTAATCTTTAATTGCACAGTATGGCGCATTAGATTTGTAAAATCTTTGATCACATTTATTTATTTGTTATGCCGAATCTAACAGTGTATTTAGATTTTTAATTTTGGGTCCAGTTTTCAAATTGGTCTACATTAATGTCCAAAGGGTCCAAAATTAAACTTTGTTTGATTTTAGCAAAAATTGAATATATGAGGTTCTTTGATATGCTGAATCTAAACATGTATTTAGATTTTTGATTTTTGGCCCAGTTTTCAAGTTGGTCCAAATTGGGGTCCAAAATTAAACTTTGTTTGATTTCAACAAAAATTGAATATATGGGGTTCTTTGATATGCTGAATCTAACCATGTATTTAGATTTTTTATTTGTGGACCCCGTTATCTTATTGGTTCATATTGAGGTCAAAAGGGTCCAAAATTAAACTTTGTTTGATTTCATCTAAAATTGAATTATTGGGGTTCTTTGATATTCCAAATCTAACCGTGTATTTAGGTTTTTAATTTTGGGTCCTGTTTTTTAAATTGGTCTACATTGAAGTCCAAAGGGTCCAAAATTAAACTTAGTTTGATTTTGACAAAAATTGAATTCTTGGGGTTCTTTGATTTGCTGAATCTAAACATGTGTTTAGATTTTTGATTATGGGCCCAGTTTTCAAGTTGGTCCAAGATAGGGTCCGGTATTTAAACTTTGTTTGATTTCAACAAAAATTGAATATATGGGGTTCTTTGATATGCTGAATCTAAACATGTATTTAGATTTTTGATTATGGGCCCAGTTTTCAAGTTGGTCCAAATTGGGGTCCAAAATTAAACTTTGTTTGATTTCAACAAAAATTGAATATATGAGGTTCTTTGATATGCTGAATCTAACCATGTATTTCGATTTTTTATTTGTAGGCCCCGCTATCAAATTGGTTCATATTGAGGTCAAAAGGGTCCAAAATTAAACTTTGTTTGATTTCATCGAAAATTGAATTATTGGGGTTCTTTGATATGCCAAATCTAACCGTGTTTTTAGATTTTTAATTTGGGTCCCCCCGTTTTTTAAATTGGTCTTCATTGAGGTCCAAAGGGTCCAAAATTAAACTTAGTTTGATTTTAACAAAAATTGAATTCTTGGGGTTCTTTGATATGCTGAATCTAAACATGTATTTAGATTTTTGATTATGGGCCCAGTTTTCAAGTTGGTCCAAATTGGGGTCCAAAATTAAACTTTGTTTGATTTCAACAAAAATTGAATATATGAGGTTCTTTGATATGCTGAATCTAACCATGTATTTAGATTTTTTATTTGTAGGACCTGCTATCAAATTAGTTCATATTGAGGTCAAAAGGGTCCAAAATTAAACTTTGTTTGATTTCATCTAAAATTGAATTATTGGGGTTCTTTGATATTCCAAATCTAACCGTGTATTTAGGTTATTAATTTTGGGTCCTGTTTTTTAAATTGGTCTACATTGAGGTCCAAAGGGTCCAAAATTAAACTTAGTTTGATTTTGACAAAAATTGAATTCTTGGGGTTCTTTGATTTGCTGAATCTAAACATGTGTTTAGATTTTTGATTATGGGCCCAGTTTTCAAGTTGGTCCAAGATAGGGTCCAGTATTTAAACTTTGTTTGATTTCAACAAAAATTGAATATATGGGGTTCTTTGATATGCTGAATCTAAACATGTATTTAGATTTTTGATTATGGGCCCAGTTTTCAAGTTGGTCCAAATTGGGGTCCAAAATTAAACTTTGTTTGATTTCAACAAAAATTGAATATATGAGGTTCTTTGATATGCTGAATCTAACCATGTATTTAGATTTTTTATTTGTAGGCCCCGCTATCAAATTGGTTCATATTGAGGTCAAAAGGGTCCAAAATTAAAACTTTGTTTGATTTCATCGAAAATTGAATTATTGGGGTTCTTTGATATGCCAAATCTAACCGTGTTTTTAGATTTTTAATTTGGGTCCCGTTTTTTAAATTGGTCTTCATTGAGGTCCAAAGGGTCCAAAATTAAACTTAGTTTGATTTTAACAAAAATTGAATTCTTGGGGTTCTTTGATATGCTGAATCTAAACATGTGTTTAGAATTTTGATTATGGGCCCAGTTTTTAAGTTGGTCCAAGTTGGGGTCCAAAATTAAACTTTTTTTGATTTCAACAAAAATTGAATATATGGGGTTCTTTGATATGCTGAATCTAACCATGAATTTAGATTTTTTATTTGTGGGCCCCGCTATCAAATTGGTTCATATTGAGGTCAAAAGGGTCCAAAATTAAACTTTGTTTGATTTCATCAAAAATTGAATTATTGGGGTTCTTTGATATTCCAAATCTAACCGTGTATTTAGATTTTTAATTTTAAGTCCCGTTTTTTAAATTGGTCTACATTAAGGTCCAAAGGGTCCAAAATTAAACTTAGTTTGATTTTAGCAAAAATTGAATTCTTGGGGTTCTTTGATATGCTGAATCTAAACATGTGTTTAGATTTTTGATTATGGGACCAGTTTTCAAGTTTGTCCAAGTTGGGGTCCAAAATTAAACTTTGTTTGATTTTAACAAAAATTAAATATATGGGGTTCTTTGATATGCTGAATCTAACCATGTATTTTGATTTTGGACATTGGACCATAATAGGTAAATTAAAAAAATTCAAGTTCTTAGACCACATTCTTTCTGTGTCAGAAACCTATGCTGTGTCAAATATTTAATAACAATCCAAATTCAGAGCTGTATCAAGCTTGAATGTTGTGTCCATACTTGCCCCAACTGTTCAGGGTTCGACCTCTGCGGTCGTATCAAGCTGCGCCCCAGCGAAGCATTTTATTATTAAAAAAAAATGTACATTGTATTAATATTGTAAAATTTCAATGTATATAAAATAAGGAGATGTGGTATGATTGCCAATGAAACAACTTTCCACCAGAGTCCATATCACATGGATTTAAACAACTATAGTTCACTGTACAGCCTTCAACAATGAGCAAAACCCAAATACAACAAAATGTAAAACAATTTTTAAAAAATGTAGTATGTTTGAAATTTAGCAGAACTATTACTGTATCAAAATAAGAGTATCTGGAATCATGACACGACTATTAGAATATTTAAATGAAATCATAGAAAAGTCACTTTTAAGTGTTTCCATGGAAATTGATAACTTCTAACTTTTCAAATGTTAAACAATATCTGGTAATGAGATAAAAAATTTAGTTGTTTCTAATTTCAAGGTCAGAATTCTTAAGTCAAGGTTGCAATATGACAGGTGTAGGCATAACAAATCTGATGTCTTACACCAGAAAAATAAATCACACAATTGCTATTTGAGGGAGCTGGAACCTTGTTCATTATCATTGTTTTGTAAAAGGTCAAGATTATCAAGCAGGATTAAGGAAAAACAGCCAATCAAAATTAAGTGTAATTGTGAGGGGATGTTTGGTATTATAATACCTTTGTTGATTATTTATTTGTGATGTTGATGTATGAAACTTTCATATTCAAGTTTTTATAGAATTTAAAAAAAATGTTTTTTTTTTTTAGCTGGACAATTTAGCAAATATTGGTAATATAGTACAAACTGTTACAGATATTTCTACCAAGGCTAGTCAAGTAAGTATTTTAAAAACCAAATCTTAATTTTTGTGATAAAGTAAATGTTATTTGTCTATATATTTTGTTGTGAGGTATGAATACCAATTCAACTGGTGCTCCCTTTTAAATGTTGAGAGAGTCCTACTAATTGGGACTTGGGCTGTTAATTTGTATGTACAATTATCTTATTTGTTTTTATACATGCGCCCATCCTTAGGTTTTAAGTCAACCTTTTCTTACACTGTACAACCCATATTTGATAAGTTATCTGTGATTTAGGTGGGTATTTGATAGACCAGAACTTTTATACTTCAACAGAAGCATTAAACAGGCCTCCATCATCTGGAATTTAGTGAACAGTTCTTGCTTACACTTATATAAATATATATACAGCAGTGATATAGAGCTTATCACACATTGTGAACACTTGTCCATTATTGAAGACTATAAGGTGATACACGTATCTAGATATCTTTTTGGTTTAAATTGTATTGCTGGGTCCCTGTTCAATTAAGAGATAACTGTATTGTATTTGAAGCTTTGCAGACGTCCATCGGTAGTTTTACTGTCGCAAATTTAGTTTACCTGGTGACACGTAGCGGAGACAGGTAAACGGGTATTTGCGATAGTAAAACTACAGATGGACGTCCGCAAAGCTTCAAATACAATACAGTTATCTCTATTCTAATGCAAAACAAGTACATAATTCAATTTCAATCATTATTTCAGTGTAAAATTCTCATTAAAGAAAATTCCGCAAAAAGATGTTATCTTCTTTGGCCCCAAAACTAGGTGACGTCATAGGTATGCTTCCGGCGTCAAACGTAAACACCAGCCGTTTTCTGGCTTCTTGGTCGCTTCAGAAGCTAATAAAATTTGATAAAAGAAGATTTCTAGGTGCAACATGTGAGTTTTTTTGCTTATTATTGTAAAAATTACAAGTCAATACATTCCGCAATTCAAAATGTCGGCTTCCTTAGTTACAGACAAGGAGATAGCGAATTTTATGCTTACTGTCATCCAATCAGAACCATTGATACAAAATAATTGCATTAGAATTGATAATTACCTTTTGAACTCATTTTCTCATATACAAAATAGGTTAGGGATTTCTATCTATTGTTACATTAATGCTACACAAAGACAACAACATCGTAGATTACTGCAAGGAAAATCTTTATTATGGTCTACATGTTTGGCCACTTACGGTGGCGTCTTCAGGACAATATAAACATAGAAAACAAATACTGAAGTACATAAAATGCGGTGCATATGGGGTTACAAAGGTTAACAAGACGTAACGTCACAATACTGTGGATTCATTAATATTCGTTGGATACCAATTTTCGTGGATTTCGTGGGTACAGGGGAACCACGAATTTAAATGTTCAACGAATTACAAATTTCCTAAAGGAATATATGCAGACTTTGCCGAAACCACGAAATTAAATATCCACGAAAATGCAAGTTTTCTTCAATCCACGAAAATTGGTACCCACGAAAATAAATGAATCCACAGTAATTGATTTGACAACGTTAAAATGAAAGTGAAAGTAAAAGTTAATAATGAATTGTCAGTGTCTTTTCCAAAATGGACAACACCTCACAGGACATTTCGTACCATTCCAAAAGGCTTCACTGGGAAAGAGGTACTACTTCCAATTGCGTCTGGAATGTTGTAAGATGTATTGTAGTCACACATGTAGGGCATGGTGGAAGTTATGGTGAATTGGTTACATTTTGCGGTCGTGGTACACTATCCATGTTGCAAGTTTATTTCAACAATAATCATGCGGTTCTGCGGTTCAGTACGTTTTGCGGTGGTCTTCTTTTCATCTTGAGTGGTAGTAGTTCATTTGTTGACTTTCTAGAATAATTCGGCTATCTCGGAAGGGGTCGATATTGTCAATACGGTGTGGTTGTCAAATACAACGCTGGTTTGGCAAAGGTGGATCTTCTCTTCTAGATGCAGTAATCTACGATGTTGTTGTCTTTGTGTAGCATTATTTTCCTGAGGTTTTAAGACAGTAGCAGCATACCTCCGGGTATCCATCCTGATTACTCTCTACCAGCCTGTACCGTTAGAAGGTGTTGGTTCACTCGATGCAACCTATTGTTACATTAGTTTTGTTTATGTAAACATGCAATATGGGGATGTCCTAATTTAGTGAAAAAATATTGTACTTGAAGTGATCAAAGTTACATTATCTATATTTTTCAGGCAAGGGAACAATTTGATGATGTAAAGGATGAAATTCAGACAAAGTTGGCAACAACTATAACTAGTTTGTATTTAGAATTTATATGAACCAAATAATAATCTTTATTTAAATTACATGGAACTAGTTTATTGAGAGAATCAACTGTCAATAAGAACTGATTAGTATTGCTTACAGATCTGACAGATACAACTGCAATATTTCCATGATATTTTGTTTAATTTTAAAATCAGACACAACTTCACACAATATCGAAGAACCTTTTGATGAGAAAAAGTGACCAAAATGTTGATAGATTTAATTAAGACTTCATGCGTGTTTAGAATTCCAATTTGAACCTGTAATTTTTTTATTCTGCTCATTATTCAGTTAAATGTTCTTTTATTGTTTTTGTACATGCAAAATGAAGAATGGAAAAGTCTTACATAAGATGTTTCAAGTTTGCCTAAAATCCGTTAGAACAATTTTGTATCTACTGTGCATTGTCATTCCTCCTCCTTCATGGAAAATTTGTTCTTTCAAATTGTGTAGAAGGGTTTGACTTCTCTAAATTGGGAACAGGATATGACGAAGGACTTTTCAAAAATGCAGATGAAGATATGTTATTTGAAATAATAGCCTAGATGTTATTTTATGTAATTAAGCTTTCTGTACTTTGACTATAAAATGACTGTGTGCACATTGAGTTACTCAACAATTTTAATAATATTCCTTTTATTTTCAGAGGCAGAAAAAAAGACTAATGAAACAAGAGACGATATATTGAAGGAAATTCCAAGCATAAAAGATACCCTGAATAATATAGTAAGAGTTATAGCATATTTTCTTGATTCTATTGTAAACCAACTCGGTGTTACCACTTTTTATTGAACTAGAAATGTGGCATTAAAACTATGCACCAGGGGTAATTACATGATTTAGAATTAATTCAAACTTAATTGACAGTTAACGTTGTAAAATTTCCTCTTTCATAATATAGATCTTGTAATTAAAACATCACTCTTTAATTTTCAGTGTAGAATAAATTCTGACAAGCTGTTATTCATGTTTAAAAATACTTTATTATATTTTCAGACAAAAAATCTGAACTTGACCGATGGTCTTAATGATGCAGATGAGTCTATAAAGCAATATGGAGATTATGTGTAAGTATGATGTTTTTCCTTGATTCTGTCTTAGCCTTCTCTTCAAAGTAATTTCCAAACAGCAGATTAATAACCCTGTTTGAAATCACAATACTCCTTAAGTATTCAATTTCTTATTATATTAAATTAATTGTTTAATGAACTATCAACTGCATTAAAAATGTTTCCTGTTTATTTAGCAAAAAGATGTTATACAATTATGGACCGTAGAGAAGCTGAATAACCAAAATTGTCAAAACGAAAAAGGTTATTTCACTGATGTGAAATAATTTTTTAGGGTTGACAATTTTGGATATTCATCGCTTCTAAGTGGCCACAATTGTTTTATTATACCGAACTAACAGTGAAAGGGCCTTTTGAAATATTGAAAAAGCACGTAACCTACTGTATCGAACAAACACATGTAAACGTTGGAAAATAAATTTGTGTCTTAGAATTTCTCATATGTACAACAAAGCTAGAATCTTTTTGTGAAATATTGATGGCCCTGAAAAGGACCATTTATAAGAGATATCTTCGGCACTAGATGCATTTCCAAAGACTTGTTTCCTCGTCACTTGATGGGCTTCCTGTAACTTGAAGTTAAATGTTGCCATTTCGTTTACTTACATCTGTGACGTCATTTTCATGGGAGATAACTCGTGTACAAATCAAGAAACTCAAAAGGTTATTCGCCGGTGAATAATAGGGTTATTCACCGCTGGTGTAAATTTTTAGGGTTATTCGTCCCTCCTTGCAATTAAATAAAAATTAACTGAATTATTCCATGTCGCATGATAACGTGTTACCCAATAGAATTGTTTATAATATATGTAAGGTATAATAACAAGAGAGAAATATCTGCAGTGGAGACTGTATATTGTATACTGTTTTACCTCTGTCTATCTGTTCCATGAAAATTTAGAATCTATCAGAAACTACAAATTAGATCTACAAGAAATTTCTTATATGGCTTCTTGTCAGCATGTTTTTGTGTTCATGTGATGCGGTTTCAGATTCTTTATACATCATGAGCACATACAAGGAGCTGAGCTAATTTGAAAAACAAAAATAAAGTAAAGACATAAGATAAATAACTTTTATTCTTGTCTTCAGATGGTATGCTTTCATAGGTGTGCCTTGCCTAACTTTGTTAGTGGTCGTCTTTTACCTGTTTGGTCTACTGTTTGGTCTATGTGGAGAAAGGCCTGGACGTGATGCCAGATGCTGTAACAAAGGAGCTGGAAGTAATATGCTTTGTTGGTGAGTATTTCAAATACCCTTATTTTTATCTGGCTCAATCTTAATATCCTAGAATTCTAAAGCAATTGATGTGTACAGTGTCTGACACTTTTCCTGTGAAAATTTTTCAAAATCTTTAAAAAGATTATTTATGTGAATGAAGACTTTCTTTTAGATCACTTAATTGAATCAAAACAAGGAAATGAATAGAGCTAAACAGTTTATGTTATTATATTTTAAACTAAACATTGCAAAAGCAAGCAGTAGTATGAGACTTTGATTTCTTACTTGCTGAAACCATTATTATAAAAATAAGGAGATGTGGTAAGATTGCCAATGAGACAACTATCCAACAGAGTTCAAATGAGATGGATGTGTGCAATTATAAGTGACCATATGGCTTTCAACAATGAGAAAAACCCATACCATATAGTCAGCTATACGAGGCCCAGACATGAAAAATGTAAAACAAATCTAACAACAAAACAAACTGTCTAATTTGTAATAACACAATTTACTAAGAGGAATATGACAGTCATGAACCAGGCTCCTGACTTGGGACAGGCACATAAAGAATGTAGCCGGGTTAAATAAGTTTGTGAGCACACAACTCTCCCCCATAACATGGGACAGTCTATAGCAGCACAGCATAAGAACAAAGTGTAAAAATCAGTTGCAAATGGTTTAAATCAATAGATCTGTAGAATTCACAAAAACCCAACTAACATAAAAACAATAGACACAAAGGACCAATATAAGAGTGCTCACAGTTACTGAAAGCTAGTTCAAAGCCAATTACAACTAATAAGTACATCATGTTCTCCCAGACTAAAGTATCAATCAGTACACATCCAAAAGATTTTCTGTAAAGATACCATAAACAGTCTGGGAAATGCACAGCCTTGTGCAATGCCAAAATATAAGTAATCTGTATCAATACATTTATGTTAAAAGAATTTAAGTGATTTTTGAGAAGATTTTGTTTTGTTGTCAAGATGAAATATATACAATTAGTTTACTATGATAAATTCAATAAGACAAGTATATTCTTTGATTTTATATTAACATAAATGGTGTGAAACCTGTTTATAACATATAATTTTTGTACTATGAAGAAAATCAAATGAATATTACTACTCTAAGAATTTTTTTTTATTAAATTTGGATTTGGATTTATGAATTGGATAGTAAAAAGGACAATGTATTTGCATTAAAATATGTTATCTTTTATTCCAGTGGTGTGCTATGTTCCTATTTGATTGGGAGTTTGATTATGTTTGTAGTAATTTTAATGTTTATACCATTTGGATTACTGTATACCAATGGATGTCGATACCTCAATGATGGAGTAGAAAATATAGAGGTAAGGACGTGCATAGAAATTTATTTATATCAGGAATTGAGTCCTGTGATGGTGAAAAGAACATGTCAAATTATTTTGTATGTGAATGAAAGGAAATGCATGATATGATTAGACTTATAGCATCCATTGTTTTAAATTTTATTATTTATAACTACAATTCTATCCAGAACACTTCCTGTTATGTTTATTTCCTAAATATAGTAACAGAGTAATATTTTGTACATGGTCAATATTTCACATCACTTTTCTATACAATTAGGGGCTCATTTAGGGATGGAAAATAAACTTCATTAGTGTAGCCATTGTTTACTGCAATATGAAAACAATATTAGACCAATGTCATAAAAATGTCAACCTTTTTGTAATTGAACAAAACTGTTCAAGGGCATGACAATTATTACTGTTCCCCAGTATATAAGCCTCATACAAAAGAATTGCAGTATAAAACATTTTTACGAAAAAGAATATAATAACATATAATACAATGTTCGTGTTTATGAGAGATTCATTTGTTTATATTATGAAGAAACTGATTGATTTGTCTTTTGTAGAGATTTGAGTTTGTAGTCAGTGAATCTATGGGATATAATATATCTGCATTTATTGATCCAAATGGAAAATCTGCAGGCAATATAACTGTTGGAAAGATTTTGGGGTAAGTCTTAATCACATTTGTTATATAGCCTTAAAAAAGGTAAAAGTTTCTGAGTACAGGACTTGCTTGGGTTTATATGGGATCATTCCAGTGTAAAATGTATGTCATAACTATCCATTTGTTGCTGAAATATATTGTGCTGTGAAATAAATAAAATACATGTATTTAATAATAGACAAAATATCAAATGCTTATCAATCTTTATTCATATTAATATTTCATGTTAGCTATCACAGATTAAAAAATACATGTTTCTGAAATAATTAAAATTAGCTTTTCTATAATTAATACCATTTAAGGTTTGTTTGAGATGACAGTTGATATACAATTGCGATCCTGGCATTAATAATAGCAAAGCTAATTTAAAATATTTCAGACGGTTCACATGATCTTTCATTGATCAATGATCAAGGTATGGTTTTCAAATGTAATTCAGTGGCCTCAGTGGCTGAGTGGTCTAAGAAGTCCAACTAATGTACCACTTATTTGTCAACACTGAGGTTCTGAGTTTGAAAACTGCATGTGGCAGGTGTCTTCAACTCCAATCTTAATTGACTATAGGATTGTCAGTTTTCCTACCAAAGGTTTGTGGATCCCTCCTGGCACTCCAACTTCCTTCACCTATAAAATTGACCACCACGAAATAGCCAATAGTACTGAAAGTGGCGTTAAACACCAATCAATCAACGTTATTCAGATCTATATTATAAGCAAAAGGTAAACTAAATTTGGTGAATGGAATAAAAGTTAGGTTTACATGTGTATCTGGCAGGGCCATCTGACCTTTACCTCAAATTCATGGTTCATTGGTTACCTTAAAGTCTTATATTAGGTCCATTTCTCAAAAACTGCAAACAAAAGGTTTACTTTATTTGGTGTTTGGAATGTATTGTAAGGTTTACATGTGTATCTGGCAGGTTTCCTCAGAACTTGACCTTATTTTCATGGTTCTTTGTTTTTGTGGGTAGGTTGGTTTGTCAGATACAACAAGCAAAAAGGCAACTATATTTGGTGTAGAGAATGATTGTTAGGTGTATAAGTCTGTCTGGCAGGGTGTATCTGACCTTGAACTCATTTTCATGGTTCATTAATCGATATAAAGTTATCATCAGTTAATCCACATGGGTTAATACACCATATCTGTTCTCTCCCATGGTCTACACCCTATGTAAACCTTTCTTAAAGTAAATATTTAGAAAATTCACTGAAAAAGAGAGGATATGTTGAAGAAAAATTAGTTTGATAAGAAGATGAAGAAATATGTTTTTTATTATCCATCTTTGAACAGATTCTTCCTAGACCAAAAAAAAAAATTCTTTGAATGAACCAGATTCAATTGAAACCATATTCTGTGTGCACTAACATGAAACATAATTTTTCAATTTACATACATTTGATAGACCTTATGCATAATATTTTCAATATTATGATTAACTCTGCATTGTTTTATTGAAAGTTTTTATACGCCCGTTTACAGGACGTATTATGGTATACCGTTGACCGTCCGTCCGTCCGTCTCTCCGTCCGTCATCAACATGTCGGACATTAACTCAAAAAAGCTTTAACCAATATGCATGAAACTTTGGTGAATTGTTTCTATCTATTGACGTGAGCTCCCTTTCGTTTTTTATAAATTTCAGATTTACCGTTTCCTAGTTTTGGGGTTTTATTCATTAAAAAATTCGTGAGGGTTCCACGGAACCCAGTGTCTCGCCTACTTTTGCTGTTAATCGCAGGCTCAACAAAAATGAGGAAAAAAATTAATAAAAATATTCCTCTCTATACTATCTTTTGATTGTAAGTAGCTTCTGTCCAAGTTTGGTAAAAATCCAGGATGGTTTTTGAATCTAATAAATGTTTTTAAAACTTTAATTGCAGACTGTATGTAAAGTTAACTGGAAGAAAAACTAAGTCCATTTATAAGTAAAATACAGAAAAAATGGAACAAAATTTTATCAAAATTTCCTTCTAAATACTAGCTTTTGATCATAAACAAGCTTCTGTCCAAGTGTGGTACAAATCCAGGATAGTTTAAGAAAGTTGTTAAAATTTTAAAAACTTTAACCACAGAGTGAATGTAATGTTAACTGGCAGAAAAACTAAGTCCATTTATAAGTAAAATACAGAAAAAATGGATTTTTTTTTTTACAAAATTTACTTCTGGATACTATCTTATGATCATAAACAAGCTTCTTTCCAAGTTTGGTAGAAATCCAGGATAGTTTAAGAAAGTTATTAAAATTTCAAAAACTTTAACCACAGAGTGAATGTAATGTTTCCTGGCAAAAAAACTAAGTCCATTTATAAGTAAAATACGGAAAAAATGGAATTTTTTTTTTACAAAATTTACTTTTGAATATAATCTTATGATCATAAACAAGCTTCTGTCCAAGTTTGGTAGAAATCCAGGATAGTTTAAGAAAGTTATTAAAATTTCAAAAACTTTAACCACAGAGTGAATATTTGTGGACGCCGCCGACGACGACGACGACGCCGACGGAATGTAGGATCGCTATGTCTCGCTTTTTCGACAAAAGTCGAAGGCTCGACAAAAAGGGGTGATTTTCCAGTTTTCTAACAATAACTCAAGAATGCTTTCACCAACTTGCAAGAAATTTTGGTGAATTGTTTATATCTATTGACATGAGCTCCCTTTTGGATTTTTATAAATTTTAGATTTTACGTTTCCGAGTTACAGGGTTTTATTCATAAAAAAAGGGGGATTTTCCAGTTTTCAGACAATAACTAAAAAATGCTTTCAGCAGTTCTCATGAAACTTTGGTGAATTGTTTATATCTGTTGATGTCAGCTCCCTTTAGAATTTTATAAATTTGAGATTTTACATTTCTGAGTTATGGGGTTTTATTCATTAAAAAGGGGGGATTTTCCAGTTTTTGCACAATAACTCAAAAATGCTTTTAGCAGTTCGCATGAAACTTTGGTGAATTATTTATAGCTATTGATGTAATCTCCCTTTTGATTTTCATAAACTTCAAATATGATATTGAGAAAAAATTGAACTTTATTTGTTTATAGACTGACAACAGATTTACTAAGTATTGCGCTTCAGCACAGTGTATTGCACAACAGCAAGAAATCTTTAATTGAATATAAATTCTATTCATATGACCAATTTCAAGTTCTTTGACTACATTTATTCAGAAACCTATAATATGTCAAATGTTTAATTACAATCCAAATTCAGACCTGTTTCAAGCTTGAATATTGTGTCCATTTTTGCCCCAACTGTTCAGGGTTGGACCTCTGCGGGCTTATCCAGCTGCGCTCAGCGAAGCAGTTTATTTATATATATTTTAATTTCATTTCAGAAACTGTAAGAAAAATATGGGAGTATACAATGCTTTCCATTTGGAAAATTTATTTTCATTGGATGAAATTCTGAATATGACTGTGAGTAAAGAAGAGTTATATTTTTGTCTTGCCTTGACGGAGTCAAAAAGCGAGACATAGGTATGCTGTTTCCGGCGGCGGCGGTGTCGGAGTCAACAATGTATTAGTTTGTGATTAGGTCTAGTTCATGGTGAACCACTAGTGGTAGGTAAATGATATTTGGTATGCAGTTGTATTACCATTGGCACATCTCATTACCATGGAGATTATTTGGTCCCGCCCCCTCAGTCAAGGTCTATTGACTTTGAAACTTTTCATAGTTTACATGTATTAGTTTGTGATTAGGTCAATTTATGGGGAACCACTAGTGTTAGGTCAATGATATTTGGTATGCAGTTGTATAAGCATTGGCATATCTCATTTCCATGGAGATTATTTGGCTCAGCCCCCTTAGTCATGGTCTATAGACTTTGAAAATTTTGCTAAGTTAACATGTATTAGTTTGTGATTAGGTCAGTTCAAGGGGAACCATTAGTGGTAGGCCAATGTTAATTGGTGTTCAGTTGAATAAGCATTAGCACATCTCATTTCCATGGAGAATATTTGGCCCCGCCTCCTCAGTCATGGTCTGTTTACTTTGAAACTTTTACTTAGTTTACATGTACTAGTTTGTGATTAGATCAGTTTAAGATGAACTTCTAATGTTAAGTCAATGATATTTGGTATGCAAATTTATTGGCATTTGCAAGTATTGTTTCCATTGAGATTATATAGCCCCACCCCTGATCATGGTTCATTGACTTTGAAACTTTTACATAGTTTACAAGTTAATGTTTGTGTTTAGGTTTGTTTAAAGGGAACGACTTATAATAAGTCAATGGTATTTGGTATGCAGTTGTATTAGCATTGGCACATCTCATTCCATGGAGATTGTTTAGCCAAGTACCTTCAGTCATGGTTCATCGACTTTGAATATTTGCATAACTTACATGTTAAAGTATTGCTATTTTAATTTCAACATTTGCATTATCAAAATTACAAAAAGGCGAGACATATCTCTGTGATAACAGTTTATTGTTTTACTTTTAACATTTAAACGGGATGCATTACATAGAACAAATAATCTAAATATAATAGTATTTAATTAGCAAGTCATCTACTAATTAATCAATCAGTCAACGATTGAAATTCTTTGATTAAGAAAAATATTGTGCAAATCCAGGTGCATCTTAAATATGCATTTTTATTTAAAAGATCTAGAATCTGTTGTATACATTTATTTTTAATATTTCATGGATTTTATTGTTTTTCCTGCAGTGAAAATGTTTTTATAGTTATTTTACTAAACTGTTATTTAAGAAGAAAGTAACCAATAAATGAACATGAAATTATCTTGATATTTTTTTTTCTTCAGAGAATCACTTCTGAAATTGACAAAATTGTTGAGGAAGGCAGCAAAGCTAGTTTAGGAAATATTAGTATCATTCCAGCTGATTTAAAGGAGCAGTTAAACAAATTTTCAACATCAGGAATAACCAATATTAACTTTACACAATATGATGATGTGGTAAGTATAATATCAAATTGTATTTTTGAAGGTGGTGATTAATTATAAGAGTTAAAATTTCATTTAATGATATTCTGAATGTTATTTAAACTGAAAAATATGATTATTTGTATAAATGTCTATGCAGTGGTAGATTCATTTCTTAAGTAGACATAGTATAAAACTAACAATAAGAAATTCAGGAGCCATAATGTCATGATATATGTAAAAATTACATTAAATAAAGGTCACTTTTAGGTATTTTTATGAAAAAATACAGATCTTGGTAGATTTTTAAATGTTATTCAGGCATTTTAATATTGAGAGGATGCAAAAACTTGTATAACTAGATAATTTAAAGCAGTGTTTTTTTTATATAAACAACACCTCTTATACAAATGTTTGTGTGGTTCTTATAAAAATATGTTGTATGATTGCCAATGAGATAACTCTCCACTAGAGGACCAAATGACATAGAAGTTAACAACTATAGGTCACTGTAAGGCCTTCATCAATCGCATAGTAAGCTTTAAAAGGCCTGGAAAGGCATCATTCAGTATTTCTCTTGCACAAGCATTTATTGAAACTTAGAAATTGTACTAAATGACTGTTGAAACTTATGTTTTGGCCTTACACAAGGTCATGCTTTTCTCAAACATTTTATGAAGTCTTTACACTTAATCTGTTGTTGATAAAATGATTGATGTTTTATTTTGGGAAAATATTGTTTATCTACTACCATTCAGTAACTGTGAGAACTTGAAATTGTTTTATCTTTTCCATTTGTTAATTCGTCTTTGTACTTAGTACCTATCTGATGAGTCTCTTTTCAACTGGTTGTACAGTTTGTTCTTATGTTGTGTTGTTACACCATTGTCCTAGGTTAGGAGAAGGGTTGAGTACTCACGAAAAATGTTATTCTGATCCACATTTTAATGTGCCTGACCAAAGCCTGTAATCCAATGGTCGTCTTTGGTTTCCATTTGACATGAATGATTTTTCATTTATTGTATTAGCTTTAATCAAGCCATAGTATTTCTCTTTTTAAATCATTAAACATTTTGTTTATAGCTGACTTTACATTATGGGGTGTTGACATCGTTTAAGGCAAGTGCTGTATTGTGACTCCTAGTTGTTAACATTCTTGTCCTTTGGCCTTTAATGGATACTTGTCTCTTTGGCAATTATACCGTATCTCCTTATTTTTATACATAAATTAAGGCCTTTAATTAAGAAAATTGAATGTAACATTTTGACCAGTGAATTCATAGTAAATTATGGTTAGTGGATATGTTAAAAGATCTTATTAATTTGATTGGCCTATGTAACTATATAAATAACTTAAGTAATTCAAGTTTTTCTGTTTCAAAGAAACCTACTTCATCTGAAAAGTTTGTATTAATGAGAAGCTTGTTTTCTTTCATACTTTTTTGTTGATTTAGATCCTCATATGTACAATAATACAGGAAAAAGGTTTAACCATGTAACATGATTAAGATTAGTTTTATTTTTCAGTTAGACCAGGCAAGTGTACCAAATTTGTCTTCAATAATGGATGAATTGAATAGAACAGCTATGGAGTTACGAAAAAATAACCAGGATACATTAGCTGTAAGTTCTTATACATGTTTATAAATTTGATTATGATATCCTGACAATGCTTTGTACAGGTGGTGGCATATAGCCCCCACTCCTTATCTGTTTTTAATATGTTTGTTCATTTGTCAAACTATACAAATGATATATAGTATTTGAATATAACAAGCAATTTTCACAAAGCAGTTAAGGGGAGTAACTTAATGTCACCTGAAGACAATTGATTCGGAAAATGAATAAAAGAAAAATCATTCCAAAGTCTGAAGCAATAAATTTGATTAAGCTAGGGCTGAAAATATGGTAAACAGAGTATACACATGTCTATTTCCACATCGATCCTACTATATATCACCTTTAGACTAATATAACACCTAGCTGCACCTTACCATGATTCTAGGGGCCTTCTTTTACTTTAGGTGTCCCAACCTATATGGAGCTATACTAAACTATCCTTAACCCTAAACCTTATCCAAACCAATACCTAAACCTAATACTAGCTCTAACCCTAAAACCTAACCCTAACCTAGAACATCCCCTAACCATAACCATGAATGAACCCTTACTCTAAGGCCAGTACTGATTCATTTTTCAAGATCCATAACTATGGACATCACTTAATCAGAAAAAGACAATGTATCAAGTCATGTCATAATGCTTTTAAATATTGTTCAGGCAATAGTTTTTTCTTGCTCTGTACTTTGCAATGCTTGCTAATACAATGTTTAATCATACTGGATGATCCATCGTACCAATGTTACCAATAGACCATTTTCATATTTCCAACTTTTGAGTTTTGGGAGTTTACTGTTTTCGGATGATTTTGTCATGTATAGAAAACATAAAACAGTTCATTTTCCCCCAAAATTGCTCTTACTTGACTGTGTACCACAATGTCCTACCGCAGAGTAGGTAAAATGTCCACAAAATTATATAATCTGGAGCAGGGCTTCCAAAATTTCCTGACGACAGCCGGACATTTTTCAAAGAAATATTTTTGACAGTCAATGATTAGCTGAATACTTAAATGTAAATGAGAGGATGCATAAATTGATATATGTGTCTAAATAACTAGTAGTGTTATATGCAATAAAATTTTTTATAACTGTTTTGTTTTCTTCATTCTAAAAATAAATAAAATATTATCCTCGGTATTGTGTCATTTTTCTGTGTATCGTAATACAGTAACCATCATTGCATCAATCAGCTTCAGTACCTGACTGTTCTCATGTTTTTGTTTCTGTTTATATAATCTATCTTTTCTCTGTGAGTACTTAACACTTTGTAAATTAAGGCCATCTTATTTGAAACTGTTGATGTTGGCTTTAATTGCAGTACAACTTGATCATCAATACACGTGATACTTTTCTTTTTGTGTATTGATTACCTGACCACGTGACTTTTACAACTGATGCGGTATTTATAGATAACATTGAGGAGGCCCAATGAAGGATATTGTTTTAAACCGTATAAAATCTACTGAACAGTGATAAAATTTTTCTTTGTACAATTTCCCAACCTGATTTAGAAAATAAAGAATAAATAAAAACATACTCAGTTGATAAATAATTTCATGAATAACAACATGATAATTTATGTAAGCATTTCAAATATAAAAACAGTTTTTAATATGAAAACAAGAATAGAGAACGCCCCCTTATTTATTGGACAACTCAGCTTGGTATACCCAAGCGAAGCTATTCTCTGTGTTTTTCCTATATATTTCAATAAATTTTTCCCTTTAGAGTATCCCAGTATTTAACACGATGTACAGTGTTAAATAAAATAATATATATCATACTTATTCATTTATAAATATCCTTATTTTGAAGAATAACTTTTAAATATCAGGATACTTTTTTAAACTGAATGCTCATTTAAAATAATATCTATAAAGCGTAATTAAATAGGATGTTGTTCCATACACGCTTAAATGTTTGACCTCGTTTACCTGATCACCTTTATGTACATTGTTATGCATCATTAATTCTATTAATAAAGACAAGCTAAGGACACCTCATCAAAGGTAACAAACCCGTAATCAGTGAATGATTTATGGCTTCAATATAACTTATTGAAGGGATAATTGTTTGACAGCTTGTTGTTATTTAAATAAAAGAAAACATGTTTTTTTCTACTTTTATTGATGTACACAAGCTAAAGACCAAGCCGTACATTTATGTACCCAGAGGATTAGACTAACTGAGACACTTCAAAGTATCTGAGATATGCTGCACCTGTTTTATTAAACCCATTTATGACCGAAATATCTTTGTGAAATAGATTGCCACAATTATAAACTAAAATGCCCAAACGGACATGCCGAAAGCCCCTAACGGACATTTTTATCGATCGATAGTTGGTAAAAATTGAAATGACCGTTTTATGAAAATGCCTTGAATAACAAAAAGTGGCAAACCAATTCTATTTGACCGTTTGAGGCTGAGAGCAGCCGGACTTTTTATGAAAGTTTCGGTCAAGTCCGGAATATATGACCGTTTTGGAAGCCCTGATCTGGAGTCAAAAGTCGGTAAAATGAAAATGGTCTATTGCATTGAAGGTATTGATCAACTGTTCTTTGTTTAATGTCCAGTGGCAATTATTTCATGCATATTCAGGATGATTTTATTTTTTTAATGGATTACTTATATCAAGAAGATGTGGTATGATTGCCAATGAGATAACTCTTCACCAGAGATCAAATGACTTAGAAGTTAGCAACTATAGGTTGCAGTACAGCTTTCAACAGTGAGCAAAACCCATACTGCACAGCATATCCAGTAGTTATATTTAGCAATTAATTTTGTATTTTGCAAGAACAGATCATTCTTTAAAAAATTGATATATGCAATGAAAGGGGGTTCTGATGTAAGGTTAATATTGCAGAGAGTTAGAATATTGAATCCACCATAAGTGATAGAATGATACAACTTTAAACAAAAATAATGACATAGGTATGTAATATAACACTGTTTTAGTGATCACTGTATATGTATATGATTTTGCTGAGAGGAGTTGAGACAGAAATCTTTGTAAATATACTATGGTTGAGTAAACACTTAATATGGCATGAAAAGTGTTTTACCACATTTGAAAAGTTGTATTCTATGTTCTTTTTAATATTTACAGACACAGCTCATGAATGAATGGGAAACACTATTGAGTATTCAGCAACATGAAATACCACTCATTAATCAAGCCAAGGTAAGAGTAATACATATTGATTAGATTTTAAATTTATTAGGGCCCCAGGGCCCCGCTGAATGGCAGACGCCCTATAGTGATCAGTCTGTCCGTCCGTCTGTCCGTCCGTCTGTTAGTCCGTCCGTCTGTCCATCCGTCTGTCTGTCCGTCCGTAACAAATTGTGTCCGCTCTATATCTAGAGAACCGTTATGATTTCAAAGTTTATACTTGACATGTATATTAACCAACACCAGAGGGTGTGTCATAATGTATGTACAACTTCCTAGGTCAAAGGTCAAGGTCATAAACTTTGGTTTTAGTTGACAACCCCATGTCCTATGGTAAAGATCCTGTCCGCTCTATATCTTGAGAACCGTAATGATTTCAAAGTTCATACTTGACATGTATATAAACCAACACCAGAGGGTGTGTCATAATGTATGTACAACTTCCTAGGTCAAAGGTCAAGGTCAAAAACTTTGGTTTTAGTTGACAACCCCATGTCCTATGGTAAAGATTGTGTCCGCTCTATATCTTGAGAACTGTTATGATTTCAAAGTTTATACTTGACATGTATATAAACCAACACCAGAGGGTGTGTCATAATTTATGTACAACTTCCTAGGTCAAAGGTCAAGGTCATAAACTATTGGTTTCAGTTGACAACCCCATGTCCAATGATAAAGATACAAATTTTTCACCACACATTATTCACAGCGGGGCACACAGAGATAGCTCCCATCTCAATGATATCTATTTTTTTTAAGATATGCTATAACAAGCTATCTATGATCTTTGCCATGTGACTTAAATCTTAGTTTTTGAGGTTCTTACAGATTTGAAGATTTTGAATTGTCTTGCCTGCAATGAATTTGCAAGATACTGCTTTGCCATTATCAACAATGCATTGAAGTTTGTAATTAGGCCAGATTAAGGGGAACCACTTATGGTAAGTCAATGATACTTTGTATGCAGTTGTATTACCATTGATACATCTCTTTACCCTTGAGATTGTATTGCCCTGCTCCCTTGGTCATGGTCAAGTTATTTTGAAACTTAGCATAGTTGAAATGTTATAGTTTTGTGATTAAGTCAGTTTGAAGTGAACCAGTAATGGTAAGTCAATAAGTTTGGTATGCAGTTGTATTTGTATTGGCACATCTCATTTCAGGGAAGATTATTTGACCTTCCTCCCACAGACATGGTCTATAAACTATACCTTTTACATAGTTTACTTGTTAAAATGTGTGTTAGGTCAGTTAAAAGGAAAGCACATGGAAAGTCAATGTTAATTTGCTTAGTTAATATATTAAAGTGTTACTATTTTAATTTCAACTTTTTCATTATACTTTCAAAATTACACACAGACAAGATATATCTCTGAGTCAACAGTTTACTCAGCAACCAAATTTAAAGATCTAGTCATTTGGAAATTTGGAAAAGATTCTAGAATTAAAAGTTTTGTTCTTGTAATATTGTAAGTATTAGAGCTTAGTAAAGTCTTGATCTTAAGATTAAACATGGATGCGGTGGTTTGTTATATACCAGTATATAAAACTTAGATATCATATTCTTGAAATGTCTTATTTCTTGTCTTATTTTTTACAGGGAAACCTGACGGGAGCTCTTGATAATTTGAGGAACCAGACAAATTTAAGTGTAAGTTTACAAAATATTTACTTGATAATAACCATTTCAATTCTGGTAATTATGATAACAAGAAGCTCAAATTTCATGACTCAATTAATATTCAATTTAAATGATGAAGTAAATTTCTAAATTGATCAATATAGTTCGCTGTCAGGTGTAATTCCATTAAATAAGGATGGAAAACTAAAAGTTACAAAACATTGCCTAGATGGCACTGCCTTTTCCAAGCTTCTGATATAAATAAGAATATGTGGTATGAGTGTCAATGAGACAACTCTCCATCCAGTTCACAATGTTTAAAAAGTTAACAATTATAGGTCAAAGTACGGCCTTCAACACAGAGCCTTGATTTTCTGAATAGTTATGAGGAATTTAACCAGGCAAGACATGGAGCTCACATAGCTATAGAAACAGGGAAGCATTGGATATGGATTTGTGAGCTAAGCTAGCAGTTTTTATGTTATGCCCTCGCCGTAGCGGAGGGGGCATTAAGTATTACATTTGTCCGTCCCGAACGTCCCCACAATTGGTTTACGTTCTCTAACTTTAGTTTGCCTCCACCAAATGTTATAAAACTTATACACAATGCTTATTACTTCAAAACACAAATCAAGTTCGAAATTGGGTGGTGTCACTTTTACCGTTCATGAGTTATGCCCCTTTATATATGGAAAAATTGCTAAATCTGTCGTTTCCATTCTCTAACTTTAGTTTGCCTCAACTAAATGTTATGAAACTTATACACAATGCTTATAATCACAAAACTGTCCTAACTACGTGAATCCTGCAAATGTATGTGGAAGTTGACTCATGCATATTTACAAGCAGGGGCATCTGTGGCCCATAGACACATTCTCCATTTATTTTCTAGTTTCATTCCCACCCTCAGTTTTCACACGGGCTACATAGTAAATAAGCAAACTCCCCTCTGAAAATCTTATATTCTTTACAAACAAAGGGCAAGCCAAAGAATACAATGTGCACAAACATTAATGACTTACATGTAGGTTATGAATGGTTTTGGTGTAGTTTTAATGTTTTTATTTTTTCAAACAGGAACAAGTTCAGAATGTAATAGACAGCTTAACCACATCTCAGAATACTTTCAACAGAGACTCGACAGGAATATTGAAGGAGGTAAAAAATTGCTTCTAAAATGTTTATTGAAGATATTTTTATCTATAATGTACAAGGTTTTGACTGAATTATTTTGCAAATTTATGTACATATTTTTAGCTCACCTGGCCCAAAGGTCCAAGTGAGCTTTTCTCATCACTTGGCGTCCGTCGTCCGTCGTCGTTAACTTTTAACATTTTGAACTTCTTCTAGAGAACCACTGAATGGAATGAAACCAAACATGGCATGAATGTTCCTTATGAGGTGCTTACCAAGTGTTGTTACTTTGTAGCCGATCCATCATCCAAGATGGCCGCCAACGGGGGACTTAGTTTAACATAGGACCCTATGGGAAATACATACAAATGTCTTCTTTTAGAGAACCACTGAATGGAATGAAACCAAACATGGCATGAATGTTCCTTATGAGGTGCTTACCAAGTGTTGTTACTTTGTAGCCGATCCATCATCCAAGATGGCCGCCAGTGGGGGACTTGGTTTAACATAGGACCCTAAGGGAAATACATACAAATGTCTTCTTTTAGAGAACCACTGAATGGAATGAAACCAAACATGGCATGAATGTTCCTTTTGAGGTGCTGACCAAGTGTTGTTACTTTGAAGCTGATCCATAATCCAAGATGGCCGCCAGCGGGGGACTTAGTTTAACATAGGACCCTATGGGAAATACATACAAATGTCTTCTTTTAGAGAACCACTGAATGGAATGAAACCAAACATGGCATGAATGTTCCTTATGAGGTGCTTACCAAGTGTTGTTACTTTGTAGCCGATCCATCATCCAAGATGGCCGCCAGTGGGGGACTTGGTTTAACATAGGACCCTAAGGGAAATACATACAAATGTCTTCTTTTAGAGAACCACTGAATGGAATGAAATCTAACATGGCATGAATGTTCCTTATGGAGTGCTGACCAAGTGCTGTTACTTTGAAGCTGATCCATCACCCAAGATGGCCGCCAGCTGGGGGACAATGTTTAACAAAGGACCCTATGGACAATACATACAAATGTCTTCTTTTAGAGAACCAAATACTGAATGGATTGAAACCAAACATGGCATGAATGTTCCTTATGAGGTGCTGACTAAGTGTTGTTACTTTGAAGCTGATCCTTCATCCATGATGGCCGCCAGTGGGGGGACGTCCTTTAACATAAGACCCTATGGGAAATACATACAAATGCTTCTTCTAGAGGTGCACTGAATGGAAAGAAATCAAACATAGCATAAATGTTTCTTATGAGGTGCTGATGAAGTGTTGCTACTTTGTTGCCGATTTACTGTTCAAGATGGCCACCAGGATTTTTTATTAAATTACAGGACCAATATTAAACCAAATTTGGCCTGGCTCATTATTAGGGTATCTGTTATGATTTTAATCTATTTTTACATGATTTCCAAAACCAAAGTAGAATCAGGTGAGCGACACAGGCTCTTGAGAGCCTCTAGTTACAAGATGTCAAATCTGTTAATATTGATACAGTGTTAAATAGATGTTGTAATCAGAATTGCTCAGTTAAAGCTTCAATAATCTTCTCATAGTATGTTTGATTTGCTTGAACAACTAGAGTTGGTATAGGTTATTCCCATTTCTTTATGTGAGCCATCCATTAATTTCACTATGTATTAACAGTTGATTTATTACTCTCTTTGAATATATTCCCTTATGATAGCATTGGGTCATTTGGAACCAATGCCAAAGATCACAAGGATCAATAGGTCTAAACCAATGCCATTGATCATATGGGTCAGTAGGTCATAAAGTGATTAAATCTTATTGATGAAATATACACTAAGAATCCCATTCAAGATAATGTTAATGATTTCATTCCCTATCAAACATGTTTTCTGTTGTTTACTATAGAAAGAAAATTTGACATCAAATTAAGTGAAGCATTCAAAAATACTATATAAACCCTTTTCTGTTCTTTCTGATTTGACACAGATTGTGTAGAATTTCTTTAGAGTATGATAAATATAATTTTATTTTATCTTATCTTACAGGGTTTAGTGGCCACTTCACAAAAGCTTGTGAACACAGTCTCAGACCAGTTGAACAAAGTCAAAACAGATGTATGTTAACAAATGTTGTTGCCTGTATTTGTATAATGCAATGGTTATGTCAGATATAGCAGTAGACGCTTTCTGAATAAAGAAAAATAGTTCATGCAATTTAAGAATAAGTATTGCATGTAAATTTGTGCAGCCATTTTAAGGAAACTACCGGTACTATCATTATCAAATTCTATCAAGGACACTTAATTTATGTCTATGTAATTATATTTGTATTCCTTTTTGGTTTTGATATAATTAATATGAGAGGTTTTCATCATCAATATCTTCATCCATGTTTGATGATGAGAGGCAGCCGAGAAACTTCCTGGAGTTGATAGAGTAGAGATAAATTTTTTTATCACTAGGTAATGTCGTCGTGCTCTCACTCACCTCAACTGAGAAAAACCATTCTTAGTCAATAGCTTGATATGAAAAATGATCACACAAAAAGATCATAGGGAAATTTAAGAAAATAGCGATAATAAACCCTATTTACAGAAATATGTTAAGTGTATCATTTATGACTTTATTTTTAGCCGTGATATGGAAAGTATTCCAATTAAGTTATTCATTCCTTTGCTCAATATGCAGAAGTAGATTTTTTGCACGATAAATGCACAAATGACATAAATTAACATTGTCTTAAACCAAATACTTTGACATAATGATAATTATTTGAATCAGGTGATTCTTGAGGGATCAAATTAAAATAGATATGCAAGTTTAACACCTTTTTGGTTTTATCAGCTCTTCAACATTTGTATAAGGTTTTGGATTTTATTTTGACCTCAAGCATCTCTAATGAGACAAAATGTGCGTCTGGTGCAGTAAAATTGGTACAATTAAGATTTTTAAAGAAATTTGTCCATTAAATATTGTTATGTACAAGTATTCGTGAAAAATCAAATGTAAGTGTTCTCATGCTTTCAGTATGAACCTTTTGGGTTTTTACCTTAATTCTCATCATTAGAGCACTTTGTTTGTTGATTATATGAGTTAATTTTTAACGGGGTTGTCCATGTTCCACCTGGTCAATAGTCCAATTGTCTTTTGTTCCACCTACCTCTTCTTTTTTATTCTAAGGATATCATTAAAAATACTGTCATTCTTGATTTGTATTCGTTGTGGACTATTACCATGACTCATCATTATTTGTTTAAATGAAACTATTTTTGTCGAGCCTTCGACTTTTGTCGAAAAAGCGAGACATAGCGATCCTACATTCCGTCGGCGTCGTCGGCGGCGGCGTCCACAAATATTCACTCTGTGGTTAAAGTTTTCTTAAACTATCCTGGATTTCTACCAAACTTGGACAGAAGCTTGTTTATGATCATAAGATTATATTCAAAAGTAAATTTTGTAAAAAAAAAATTCCATTTTTTCCGTATTATACTTGTAAGTGGACTTAGTTTTTCTGCCAGTTAACATTACATTCACTCTGTGGTTAAAGTTTTTAAAATTTCAATAACTTTCTTAAACTATCCTAGATTTCTACCAAACTTGGAAAGAAGCTTGTTTATGATCATAAGATAGTATCCAGAAGTAAATTTTGTAAAAAAAAAATCCATTTTTCCGTATTTTACTTATAAATGGACTTAAGTTTTTCTGCCAGGAAACATTACATTCACTCTGTGGTTAAAGTTTTTGAAATTTTAATAACTTTCTTAACTATCCTGGATTTGTACCACACTTGGACAGAAGCTTGTTTATGATCAAAAGCTAGTATCTAGAAGGAAATTTTGATAAAATTTTGTTCCATTTTTTCTGTATTTTACTTATAAATGGACTTAGTTTTTCTTCCAGTCAACATTACATACATTCTGCAGTTTAAGTTTTTAAAACATTTATTAGATTCATAAATTATCCTGGATTTTTACCAAACTTGGACAGAAGCTACTTACAATCAAAACATAGTATAGAGGGGAATATTTTTATTAATTTTTTTCCTCATTTTTGTTGAGCCTGCGATTAACACCAAAAGTAGGCGAGACACTGGGTTCCGCGGAACCCTTACAAATTTTTTTATATTTATTAACAGATAAGATCATATGGAAAGTGTGAGCCAGTCTATAAGAATGTACAGAAGTTATCTGATGCTTTCTGTGTCACATTTTTAGATCCTGTGGTAAGTTATACTAATGACAGCAAATTTATTTTAAAGGTACCTATCACATTAAGTAATATACACTGCTTACAGATTTATACTTGTAATATTTAAACTGAATATTGTTTGTATATTAATGAATGTTAGCACTTTACTTCGTGGAAGCATTTGTCTTATTTGTTCACCACCATATATGGTGGTTATAAACAGTTCTTCTTAAATTTTGCACAATGTCATATATGATGAAAATTAGTCTCATGATAACTTTTTGTGATTTTTTCTTCTAACATGACTGAAATTCATTTTGTACAATCTTACTGCAGTAAACAAACAAACATTTTAATGCCCCACCTAGGATAGTAAGATGTGCTTCTGTCTGTCCATTATTCGGTTCGTCTGCTATTCTGTCCTGAAAATGAAAGGAAAGTGCAAGTGGGACATGGTGTTCTATAGACACTTATTCTTGTTTCATAGTTGTTACTTTTTATTTTTAGTGTGTGGTATTTTAAATGGCATTATTTATTGTTTCACCTGACAAAAGGCTTGACAGAATTCAACCAGACTTTCACAGAATCTTTTACAGGAAATTAAGTTGTGCACCTGCTATTTTAATTACTCGACTGAGTAAATTTTTTAGTGTTTCTATTACTAATAAAATTGAGAATGGAAATGGGGAATATGTCAAAGAGACAACAACCCGACCAAAGAGCAGACAACAGCCGAAGGCCACCAATGGGTCTTCAACGCAGCGAGAAAATCCTGCACCCGGAGGTGGTCCTCAGCTGGCCCCTAAATAAAATTGTGTACTAGTTCAGTGAAAATGGACGTCATACTAAACTCCAAAACATATAAATGAACTAAAATTAAAAAACATGCAAGACTAACAAAGACCAAAGGGTCCTGACTATGGACAGGTGCAAAAATGTGGCGGGGTTAAACATGTTTTGTGAGATCTCAACCCTCCCCCTATACCTCTAGCCAATGTAGAAAAGAAACAAATAGCATGGACTTGGCAATTCTTGCTGATATCAGTTTGATAATCTGCAACTCCTTAAAAACAGCTTTAAAGAAATTTCAACACATTTTCTTCTGTCTGCACATGTCATGCACTCACTTTTTTAAAATTTAATCTGAATGATTTTCAGGTTTCCCTTTTCGAAACATGGACATTTCTTCTAATATTTGGTGACAGCTGTTGACCCACGTCTTCTTCCAGAAGACTCACACATTTTTGTTTTAGAAACATTTTATGCAAGTTTGCAATTTTTGTATTTGTTTTACAGAATTCCATATGGTTTGGATTAGGCTGGGGGCTAGCCTTCTTTATACCAGCTATTATATTTGCCCTTCTGACTGCCAATCTGTACCAGAGAGAAGAACCATATGATACAGGTTTCCACAGAACAAGAAAAATGTTGAAGGCGAGGGATAAAGAGGAATCTACATTTGACAATCCGTAAGTTTTGAATGTCTTCAGTACAGTAAAACCTGCCTCAATGGTCACCTTGTTTCAATGGTCACCTGCCTCTAACAGTCACTTCCAGACCTGCCCAATCAATTTTATGGCCCGGCCACAAGTGGTAGGGGCCATATAGTTTTACCATTATCTGTCTTTCCTTCATTCCGCAAGAACAGTTATACAGACTTTTTTTCTAAACACCTTCACATTTTTGCCAAAATTACAGGCTTTGGATTTCGTAAAAGTAACAGTTATACAGACTTTTTCTAAACGCTTTCACAAATTGAGCTGATTTTTGTCGAGCCTTCGACTTCAGTCGAAAAAGCGAGACATAGCGATCCTACATTCCGTCGTCGTCCTTGTTGTCGTCGGCGGCGTCCACAAATATTCACTCTGTGGTTAAAGTTTTTGAAATTTTAATAACTTTCTTAAACTATCCTGGATTTCTACCAAACTTGGACAGAAGCTTGTTTATGATCATAAGATAGTATCCAGAAGTAAATTTTGTAAAAATAAAATTCCATTTTTTCCGTATTTTACTTATAAATGGACTTAGTTTTTCTGCCGGGAAATTTTACATTCACTCTGTGGTTAAAGTTTTTAAAATTTTAATAACTTTCTTAAACTATCCTGGGTTTGTACCAAACTTGGACAGAAGCTTGTTTATGATCATAAGATAGTATCTAGAAGTAAATTTTGTAAAAAAATAAATCCATTTTTCCGTATTTTACTTATAAATGGACTTAGTTTTTCTGCCAGGAAGCATTACATTCACTCTGTGGTTAAAGTTTTTAAAATTTTAATAACTTTCTTAAACTATCCTGGATTTCTACCAAACTTGGGAAGAAGCTTGTTTATGATCATAAGATAGTATCCAGAAGTAAATTTTGTAAAAAAAAAATTCAATTTTTTCCGTATTTTACTTATAAATGGACTTAGTTTTTCTGCCAGTTAACATTACATTCACTCTGTGGTTAAATTTTTTAAAATTTTAACAACTTTCTTAAACTATCCTGGATTTCTACCAAACTTGGACAGAAGCTTGTTTATGATTAAAAGCTAGTATTTAGAAGGAAATTTTGTTCCATTTTTTTCCGTATTTTACTTATAAATGGACTTAGTTTTTCTTCCAGTTAACATTACATACAGTCTGCAGTTTAAGTTTTTAAAACATTTATTAAATTCATAAACTATCCTGGATTTTTACCAAACTTGGACAGAAGCTACTTACAATCAAAAGATAGTATAGAGAGGAATATTTTTATTAATTTTTTTCCTCATTTTTGTTGAGCCTGCGATTAACAGCAAAAGTAGGCGAGACACTGGGTTCTGCGGAACCCTTACAAATTTTTTGTATGTGAGTCTACTATAATGTGTTACAGAATAAGTCTACATTTGGTTCTGCTCTGCTGATTTGTGCCCAAATTTTTGTTAAAATAACAGACTTTCATTCTCATATTTCCACTCCTAAAAATGGCTTCAAGCTTTTTTTGTTAGCGGGGTCATTTGTGTCATTCAGACAAATCTAGTTTCTATATAATTTAACTCTTTCCAGCCATTACCTGTCTATTGGAGTCAGCGGTCATCTAATTTTGGCACGAAATCTGCATTTCAACTTTTAACAACGGTCATTTAAATGTTTTTAACTACCAATATAATCATGACGAAAATGTATGTGTTAAGTACCCAAAGTCATAATGAGAATGGGAACCTGTTTGCAACAGGTGGTGAATTCATGATTTCTGTTTGTTCCACTCTTTCAGTTTCCATTTGAAAACCATATCACTGACTTATAACTCCACCATTTTTTTTTATTTCACTGCTTGCATGAATGATAACTCTACTTATTGAAAACAAAACACAAAAACAATTTGCCCAGATCCCGGCCTCAGGCAATGTCTAAATAGGAATTTGTTGGCACTTTTTTAAAAGGTCACCTCTCTTGAATGATCCCTTTTGATACTTCCCAGGAGTGACTGGTGTGTCTGGGAATTTAAATACTGACAAATAACATATATATTTTAGTGAACTTATAATACAACAGATTAAATGACGTTGAACAGTCTGATGTTTTCTTTCCATAGACTTGCTTTATATTATCAGCTTCATTAGCATATATTTATATATATAAAATGATTCAACCAATATTTGTATGCCCTTTATTCTGATGATTTTCCACTCATTCAAGGACCTCATTCTATGAATTATATTTACAGTGACATTGATAGGTATCAAGGTCAAGGTTATGATGCATATGGTGGACCAGGAGCAGACAACATTCCACTGACAGGGTATGTAGTCTTACAGGAAGTTAGAATGGATTTTTTGTGGATTATTTTGTATCATTTTTTGCATGCACTTTATTTGAGTAACTGTCTGCTTAAATTAGTCAGATTTATTTGAAGATAGACTTAAATGCAACTTTTAAGTTTTGTTGGTTTTTTATATTCAAGATATATCAAGAAATTGAAGAAAAAAATTAAGAAATAAGGCATAGAATTAAATATACACATTATTCTTTCAGAAAAATATATGCACCTGATGACTGAGCAGTTTTCTCGATCTAATAAGTAATTTATTTGAATTATCATTGACATTCTTCAATACTAATTCATCAAAATCTATATTTGTCATCTATTTGTTCAGTATTTTTATTTGCTTTGTTGCGGGTGTATTGAAATAGAATGCTTCATGTTTTGTTTTTACACTGATATCTCAACAGAGATTTTATTGTTCAGATCAATCTGCTAAGACTGCTTGTATACTAACAGCTCCTATGAATGTAAAATACTTGATAAATGGACTGGGTTAGGATTTAGTATATTTTGAAATGATGAATGTTACAGAAAGTTACATTAGCTCAATATATTCTTAAAATGATCAAAGTTTATGACTAAGTAACTGTCATATGTATGTCCCTCATCATTGACTTCGAAACCAAACATTCATCTAAGATACAGTTCAATGAAAATGATATTCTACAATTTGCTTTGAAAATGTTGTAATAAAGTCATTACCTGAATCACCATGACCTTCTGTCAAAATTTAAGTATCTCTAGTTCTTTACCAAATTGCTGATTTACCGTAGATACTCACTTTTAAGTCGTTAATTTTGGGAATAAAATAATGGATTCAGGGAAGGGTCTCGTTGTTAAAGAGGATTAAAAAGGCAAAAAATTATCAAAAATTGCCTCAATTTAATTTTAGTCTCACCTGCAAAGAAAGTTGTGGAAAGCGAGACATAGGGATTGCTTTTCTGGCGACCACAATGACGACAATGGCGTCAACAATTGTTAAGTTTTTGCTTAAGTTAGTTTGATAGGAACTATTTGTGATAGATCATTGATATTTAATATAAAGTTGCATTACTATCAGGTCATATTAGTTTGACTACTATTTTGAGGCCCTGCCCCCTAGGTCATGGTTCAGTGACTTTGAATTAATCAGCAATTTTAAATGTTAAGTTTTCTGCTAAGTAAGTTTGATAGGAACTACTTGTAATAGATCAATGAAGTTGCATTACTATCAGTACATTTCAGTTTGACAACAATTTTGAGGCCCTGTCCCCTAGGCCATGGTCCAGTGACTTTGAATTAATTAGCAATTCTAAATGTTAAGGTATCTGCTTAAGTAAGTTTGATAGGAACTACTTGTGATAGATCAATGATATTTTGTATGAAGTTGCATTTCTTTCAGTACATTTCAGTTTGGCGACAATTTTGAGGCCCTGTCCCCTAGGCCATGGTCCAGTGACTTTGAATTAATTAGCAATTTTAAATGTTAAGTTTTCTGCTTCAGTTAGATTGATAGGAACTACTTGTGATAGATCAATGATATTTTGTATGAAGTTGCATTACTATCAGTACATATCAGTTTGACGACTATTTCAAGGCCCTGCTCCCTAGGTCATGGTAAAAGGAGACTTTGAATCAATTAGTATTTTTCAATGTTATGTTTTCTGCTAAAATCAGTTTTAAAGGAACTACTTACAATAGAAAACGATATTTTTTATAAAGTTACAATGCTGTCTGTACATCTCATTTTGTCAACCAATTGGAGGCTCTGTCACTAGTTCTTCATGGTCCGGTGACTTTTAAATAGCAATGTTACTGTCCATCAGATTGTCTTTTTCTTTCTGATTTTTATGCCGACAGGTGTGACATATCTCAGTGTCAACAGTTTATTTTATTTAATTTATCAACAATATCCAAAATGAGGTCATTCAAATGTCAGTATATATATCTGCAGTTGCTTCTTGTTGGATAAGTTTTTTTTGCTTCTCAAAATAGTCAAATTTAATATTTAAAATGCCTTTTATCTAACATTAAAATAAAGTAATTTTTTATCTAATTGAATACATTGTTGCAATCTTTTATTATCTGATTACTGAAATAATAAAAAAATATAAATTTTGGTTTATTAAACTAGTTTTTACTTTTATAACAAGCAGTTTGGGTGGAATAGAAAATCTAACCTCTGTTGAGATTAATGTGTTTGTGATTGTCATCATAGATGGTAAATGGATGGAATTATAAGTTCAGGTTTTTTTCGATACAATGCCATATCAATTAGAAAAGAAAGTTTTTGGGATATCTTCTAGAATGCCATTTCTGTTTATATTCATATATATATATTATTCTAAATCTAAAAAATAATTTTGAGAACAGATGTTTTAGATATTGATGGAATATAAGGGTAACTTTTAAACAAAATAAATAAGAGGGAAACATTCATTGGCTTTGAAATGAATGATCTTGATAAGTAAATATTTGAAAAAGGTCTGCAAAGCAGTTATTGAATGCAGATTCCAAGTAAAATGAAAAATAAGTAATCATATTGGCATGGCAGTGTATTGATTGTTACCGTATAGATGCTTAATATGTCTTCAATTGAAAACAACTAAAGACGTGTCCATTTGAATAAAAATACTGGAAAATTCTCAGCCTTTAGTAATGACATCTTTTTTCTGAAAAAAAAAACAACAAGAAAATTTTTTCTGGATATTGTTTTCTTTTTTGAACTGATATTTCCATATATTTAACTAAAAGAAAAGAAGCTACTGAAAAATAACCCAGTTAGTAAAATTTAATGGACAGCGTCTTTGTGGGGAAGCTTGTAGTTGTTAGAATATCTTAATTTTTTAGCGTGGGTCAGCAACGTGACAGAAATCATAGTAGTGGTGGTGGTGGTGGTGTGCCTAATCAAGGTTACTATTCTCCTGAACATCGAGGAGGTTATCCAGATCACCGTAATAGTCGTTATTCCGATCACAGACAAAGTGGAGGTTATCCTGATCACAGAAATAGTGGCGGTTACCCCTCTGCACCCCCTCCTTATAATGGACATGGCTATGATGATGATGCGAGAGGTCCTGCTAATAAATATAGAAAACCCCAATATTAAAATGTGTAAGTAGATGTATTGTCACAAAATGACAATATCACATCACAGCATTTACAGGTAGTAATAATAGATGAATTTAAAAGTAAAAAAATATTCTATTTGATTGTTATGTGAAAAGTAAAAGAATAATTCTTATAAGTATTTTATGTATCATAGCTGAAAGCAGTTACGGTATCAGTATGAACTCTCCCGTCCTATTTGTTTTTGTAGACAAATTATTATTAGGTGGTATCATAATTTCAATCACGTCACATCAACTTATGTCGGTTAAAAGCTCATTAGAGCTTATGTTGTCTCTGTTTGTATACCTTGCCGACTCTAAATAAAGCTTATTTATTTTAATCACTACAAAGGACAAGTTTTCCTCTTAATTTATGTATTCTTCGTGTACAGTATAGACTTGGAAGAAAAAGATATTTTTAATCATGCTTATAAATAATGATTTGGATGGAGGAGGGGGGTGGGTCTTCATTTCTGTATTTTGAAATTTTTTATGCCATTTTTCCCTTTATTTTTTTTGTACTTTATTCTCTATTCTTTATAATTTAACACCCCATTATTCCCTATTCTTTATTTTTGGACCATTTTCTTTTCTTATTTTTGCAATTTATTCTGTATTTTTCTTATCCAGACCCTCATAAACAGGGAATAACAATTGTACTAAACATGCCTGTATATTAAAAATAGAATGAACTGAAATGACAGTATTTATATAACACCACAGCTATTCAAATGATTGTCATTAAAACTATTTGTGATTGATGGTCATACTCCTTAACTGGTACAGACATTTTTCATAGAATATAAAATAACTTATAAGACAAGTTTTTAACATACAAGGTCTTATGAAAATATTATGAAGTATCAGAATATGTATGTTATTGTGTTATTTTACACAGTGCAGCTGAATCACTTTTGTCGTCTTGGGTTATGGCACTTTTGGGTGTCACACTTTTTTAAAACTCAACTACTTCTAAAAAGCATTACAGAATTCAACAAACTAGTGCAGATTCTTCTACAGGACATGAAATTATGCTGATGAAGTTTATTTCTGATATGTGTATTTCTTTGGGGTTTCCCATACCAAAACATGGACTTCTGTTTCTGCTAATATTTATGGAGACAACAAGCACAAAAGATTTCCTTGGAATACTCAACCTTATTTTAATAGTTTTGCGTTATCTGTCCAACTTTATAATGTCATAATAAAAAAGTTATTAAGCTGTACAATGTTTTGCTTATTAACAAAATGATGTGTATGATATATATCAATAGAAGCTGTACAAAGTTTTACTTATTTACAAAATGATGTGTATGATATATATATATATCAATAAAACAGTAAATCAACAACAGTGTTGATAGGTTACATGACTTGTAGCAAATTGATTATTAATGGTCTCAGTTCTTCTCAGATTTACTTATTTGAATATAGCTGTCTTTTAGATAAAAGAAAATATGGTTGCTGAAGATCATGCATTTATTCAAAAGTTGGATTGTAACTATTGTTTTTTGTTGGCCATGAAAACTTTAATGCATTGATTTTTTTTATATAGTATATAGAATACACAAACTTCACAGAATGAGTACTACATTTTTTACTAAGTATATTTTTCATAATGAAAAATAAAAAAAATTCTAATGTACTTTTCAGATCTATGTATTGGTAGTATGAGAGAAACAGACACAGTTTCAACTAGTTTATACCTGTGGAGGGGAACATTTCCAAACTAGTCCATTCCAGTCTTGTGTACAGTGTCCTCATAATCATATCATTGTTTCTAGATTGATATCATCTTATCTTCCTATTGTGCTAACATGGCATCACATATGTCCCTCTTTAAAGTGAAATGCCAACAAAAAATTCCTCATTAAAAAAGACATGACGCATGTTTATTGGATAATATTGTTTTTGCAATATGTATATTTTTGAAAATGGCATCCATAATAATAGATTTTTATGTCTAAGATGCAATGACCAATTCTTGCCAGACATACAGTCAAGTCTGATAATTTTGTTTATCCAATATGTCTGTTCTTTTCATTAACTTCATGGACAAATAGGACGGACAAAATTACCAGCCTACATTGTTTTATTTTTATAACTAAATTTATTATATGATAACAATAACCAGATTAGTGTATTATATAATTGATATAAACAGATTGTTATGTCTAACTCAAAGAGATTTGATAATTGGTCATCAAATTTCAATCAAATCATGGGGAAAAATGTTTTTTTGGTGATTTTATGATTAAACATTGCAAATTGTCATACAATTTTTTTGCGAAAACAATATCAAAATTACGTGTAAATTATTTTGAATATTTTTTGTTGTGTTAGTGTAAATTTTTGCTTTTCCTATTGAATACATGTTGGGTTATTATTATTTAGGTGTTTAATGCAAGTTTCTTCAAAAATTGCTTGGAGAAATAAATGACTTGTTTTGTTTGAGGTCCAATTTATATTTTATCAATACAGAAAACCTTTATTTTCGACATAGAAGATATATATTTGTAAGTCTAAATAGAAAGATTTTTTATTGACAATGAATCTGTTTTTGAAGGTACACAAAATTGAAACGTATCTAAACTCTACCTATTCTCTTTCAAACCATCAGACAGGCTTTTCATTCCATATGTCAAGTTTTTCAAAGATTCTTAGACAAGTATTATTGAGCTGCATAATAATGATAAATAGTATTGATAAAAGAAGATTTATGAGCCAAATAATTTTGCATAATAAGCATTCCATATCTTTTCCTGCTCAATTGTTCTCTTTACAGCCAGGTTCTCAGGGATGACTGGTTTATTTGGGGTTCATAATCTTTTTGACAATCAGTTCTTTAAAATTGACATATCATTTTGCTGTCGTGAAGAAAAGAGAAATATAATAGGTTTTGATCACTGTTTGGTCATAAGTGTTGAAATTTTACAACCATACAGATGTATAGTGGTAGAGCTATATAGCATATTCCAAAAGGGAAAGTTACATGAAAATGTATCACTTCTGCACTTGTAGAAAAAAAACGATTCAATAAATTCAGGAATGTATATCAGCTTTTTTGACTTGATTTGTACTTTTATGCAAATTCATAGCAATTTATTTGCTACTTCATAATGTATGTAATACATGCTTTATGTTATATTATCAAAAACACACTATACCATAGGAAAAGGGAAGGCATTTTTATACGACCGCAAACAAATTTTTGTGGTCATATATTGGTATGATGTTGGCGTCGTCGTCGTCCGGCGTCGTTGTCCGAAGACACAGTAGTTTTCGCACTCTAACTTTAGTTTAAGTGAATGGATCTCAATGAAATTTTACCATAAGGTTCAATACCACAAAAGGAAGGTGGGGATTGATTTTGGGGGTTATGGTACCAACAGTTAAGGAATTAGGGGCCAAAAATAAGCATTTTTTTAACTTCCAGACATAACTTGTATGTAAGTGTATGGATCTCTCTGACATTGTACCACAAGGTTCCATATCACAAAGGGAGTGCTGGGATTGATTTTGGGGGTAATTGCCTCCAAATTTTAGGAATTAGGGGCCAAAAAGGGGCAAAAAACAAGCATTTTTCTAGTTTCATGACAATAACTTGTGTGTGAGTCTATGGATCTCTCTGACATTGTATCACAAGGTTCCATATCACAAAGGGAATGCTGGCATTGATTTTGGGGGTAATTGCCTCCAAATTTTAGGAATTAGGGGCCAAAAAGGGGCAAAAAACAAGCATTTTTCTAGTTTCATGACAATAACTTGTGTGTAAGTATATGGATCTTTATGAAATTGTACTACAAGGTTCCATATCACATAGGGAAAGCTGGAATTGAGTTTGGGGGTAATTGCCCAAAAAGTTTAGGAATAAGGGGCCAAAAATAAGCATTTTTCTAGTTTCCAGACAATAACTTGTGTTCGAGTGTATGGATCTCTCTGAAATTGTACTGCAAGGTACCATACTACAAAGGGAAGGCTGGGATTGATTTTGGGGGTAATTCCCTCAAAATTTAAGTAATTAGGGGCCATTAAAGGGCAAAAAAACAAGCATTTTTCTAGTTTCAGGACAATAACTTGTGTGTAAGTGTATGGATGTTTATGAAATTGTACTGCAAGGTTCCATATCACATAGGGAAAGCTGGAATTGAGTTTGGGGGTAATTGCCCAAAAAGTTTAGGAATAAGGGGCCAAAAATAAGCATTTTTCTAGTTTCCAGACAATAACTTGTGTTCGAGTGTATGGATCTCTCTGAAATTGTACTGCAAGGTACCATACTACAAAGGGAAGGCTGGGATTGATTTTGGGGGTAATTCCCTCAAAATTTAAGTAATTAGGGGCCATTAAAGGGCAAAAAAACAAGCATTTTTCTAGTTTCAGGACAATAACTTGTGTGTAAGTGTATGGATGTTTATGAAATTGTACTGCAAGGTTCCATATCACAAAGGGAAAGCTGGGTTTGAGATTGGGGGTAATTGCCCTAAACGTTTAGGAATTTGGGGCCAAAAAGGGGCAAAAAAACAAGCATTTTTCTAGTTTCCAGACAATAACTTGTGTTCAAGTGTATGGATCTCTCTGAAATTGTACTGCAAGGTACCATACCACAAAGGGAAGGCTGGGATTGAGTTTGGGGGTGATGAATCAAAAGGGGATTCAAAACATATGGGGGGAGGGATTTTTTTTTCCTTTTTTTTTCTTTAAAATTTTCCATTTTAAATTGGTTATTTCTGATTTATATATAAAAGCAAATAATAATGATATGGTTTGAATAGGTAAATTAAAAAATTTTAAGTTCTTGGACCACTCTCATTCTGTGTCAGAAACCTATGCTGTGTCAAATATTTAATTACAATCCAAATTCAGTGCTGTATCAAGCTTGAATGTTGTGTCCATACTTGCCCCAACTGTTTAGGGTTCGACCTCTGGGGTCATATCAAGCTGCGCCCCAGCAGAGCATTTTTTTATGGTTTATCCTCTCCTGAAGTGTATAATCATGAGATGTTAAGAATGTTTTATCCTCCTTTAGATGATCATACAACAATAACCTGTCAGGTGAATAATAATAATATGTTGTTATATAGTCTCCTGTCAGGTGTAATTCTTTTAGATAAAAATGAAACTACAATGTTAAAGTCACAAAAACATTGACTTGGTGGCAATTGCTTTACTCTGCTTACATGCTTTGATTTCTTTCATGTTGCTCTCCACTTTAAAATTTAGTGCAAAATTAAAAAAAACTGCTAAACTTGTTTCTCTTGCATTTCTTAATAATAAGATAGAATAAAAGCCATTCCTAAAAATATTTTGTGGTTATTGATATTTTTTTCCAAATGATACTTATATGATTTTTTATAAGGTTTTAAATCTTTTGTTTCTATTCAATCTTAGTAAATGCTATGTAAAAAAATTGCTAATTTTGGTTAGATTTACTATAAATAAATGTTTGTTAATGATGTTATTTTACTCTCTTGAATGGATAAATTGCTGCTTTATTAAACTCATATTCAAATTTTATGGTCTTACAAGTTTTTGCATAATTTTGAACAAATTTCATAAGAGGAGACACATGATCTTGACACATGCATGCAGTGAAAATCATTCTAAAACTGCATTTTCCTTTGTTTTTTATCTAAGAATTGTGATTTCTCCTTGATGTTATGTGATTATTATTGCCTTTCAACAAACTAATCCATCCAGATAAATTCTATGCAGACAAAAATATCATTCCAGAATTTTTTTTTTTTTAATGTAAATATTTGTTGTTTTGTACTGCCAAATTTTTTAATGGCAATGCATTGTTAAGAATATTTTAAACATATCGTGAAATACATATTTTTGTATTTTTCTCAGAATTCCACAACTATCTGTCATCATATCTTTTATATACGAGATTTATCATATCTTGTCTCTGATAAATAATTATTATAATTTGTCATAATTCCATATATTTTTGTATGTATATAATTGTTTAATTTTTATGATTCAAGAAATCCAATGCATAATGCCATAACTTTTTTGTGTAGTTATAATGTAAAATATATTTAAACTTATGATTAATTTTATTATTATTATCATATATGTATATTTATATTTACCTTCTGTTTTCTTAGTTATTTTATTAGCTTTATTTGGTTTTATCATTTGCCAACGAAGAGTGTTATACTTGCAGTGTGCAATATGCAGTTTTATATTTTTATGGAAATTTGCAATATTAAGTAAAAGCCAGAATCAGTATCTTCGACGTACAGCCAGATACATACAGATTATAATAATTGTCTAAAAGGTATAATAGTCACAAGAATATTTGTGCAATAACTCTTTTATTGTAAGTCAAAACTTTAAAAATGATGAGAACACTATTTGAAACTTCTCTTAACATAACAATTCTTACACTTGTTGCTCCTGTTCAGTAATATGGAATTTTTACCTGCCAGTTCAGTACTATATGTCATGAGAAGCTCGTGATAGTTTGTCATATTTATAAAGAATCATTTAGTTTATCCTTTTGTAGGTGGTTATATAAGTTTTTATTATTAATAATTTAGCACTGGAAAAATGTATAACGTTACATAACGTGGGAAAGAATATGTCATAGTAATATTTCACCAGTTTTATTTTTCATTGTTAGAATGAATTTTGTTTTAATTTATTGTTGATAAAAGAACATTGATGAAGAATTTTTTAGTACACAGATGTAATAGTTTTATTTGTTTTTAGATAATGTTACAAAATTAACTTTAACTTTAGAATACTACCTCCAAGAAAGATCTTATTAATCAAGCAAAAAAAATTCTATAATGTAGCATTTTTTTTTTTTTAATTTTTTCTTAAATTGTTAATTTTCTAATATTAATTATTTTATAATGTTTTCTAAAGGTTCAGATATCTTGGTATAGGTACAAATTCTCAGATAAAGATTGGGAGCTTTTTTGTTTAGTTTAGAAAACATAACCTTCCTCAAAATTTAGTTGAATAATTTTTTTGGTATGAAGTTGCTGGTTGTGATATGTCATTCTTTAAACATGTGATCTCTGTTGCTGCTTAGTACAATGTCAGATGCTTTATTTAATGTGTGATACGCTTTGTGATCTTGATATTGTGAAGATTTTGTTAAATTTGAAAACTTGTTTGCGACTGATTATTAAAAATAGTTTTTGTATCTACTCAAATAGATAATTTTTCTCCATATTAAGCCTTTTTTTGGTCTAAATGAACAATACCCATTACAATTTTTACATTCACTAAATAAATTGAAAAGAAGAGATGAAGCTAGAATGTTTCAATACATACAGAATTTTGCATGAATTGTTACATGCATCATTTGAAATAAGATAATTTTTAAAATTTTGACAGAATTGAACCCATTAAGAATATTGTGAAAAATTACTTCATCAAGGAATTTATATCTTTTAAATACAAATTAAAAAAGATTTAATTTTGGTATTGTCTCTAATGACATTCTTTTAGAATTTGTTATGATTAATTGTTGAAAGGGTAAAAGTGAGTATGTACAGAGTTAATGAGCAGTTTAATACTTTCCATTTTTTTTATTGAAAAAAAAATTCATTTCTTAGCTTTATTGTTATATTATGATATGTTTTTTTGTTGGATAATTTTACTAACAATATACAGAGATTAATTGACTCAGCTATTTTTAAATGATTCAGAGAAAGTTTTGGATTATACTATCAGTCTTTCCTGAAAACTTACATTTTTTTTATCTTAAAAATTCAAGAATACACTTCACTTTGTATTCAAATTTTTAATTTATCCAAACGACTGATGTTTAAATGTCATTAACAGATTGTCATGACAAGTGTTCTATAGTATAATTTTAAATGACCATATAGATTTACTTTATATCGAAATCTGTAATTTGAATGTGCCTTATTTTACCATTTACATGCATGTGCAAATATTTCACAGATCAATAAATGTTCTTTTACATGGTAAAATATTTTGTTATTTGTTAGTCAGAATTCATAACTACAGGTAGCTTAATTCAAGAGTTTAGACTTCCCATTACAAATGAGTTATAGGTTATCACAAACATATTTAATGTAATGTTGTGTCGCTTCCTAAGAATTCTCTAATATGTATTGCTGAAAGGGTGTGTTAAGTGTTTAGTGGACACATGCTTACATTAGCCTACAAACCAAAAAAAAATGACAGTTTGTCCCAGTCAGCTTGTCTCAAAATAGATGTTAACAATTGTAAGTGATATAGGAAGTCTTTTGAAACTTTAAACTTGACTGTCCACTATTTAAAAGTCCAGGTAAACTGTTAGATATACTGTCAAAATTAGTTACAGTGACTATCAGTTGATAATAGTCTGAGATAATGTTTTGTCATAAACTGTTTGGATAAGTTTCAGTTGTTAACACAGAATCAAATTGCCACTAGGATGGATGGATGCTTGTACTGTAAGGGTCAGGTAAGCTATTGCTATCATGTGGATTCCAACATCATCTGTCCTAAACTTTTTAAAGATCTTCTCTGATAAGCTGATTCAATTTCAACCAAACTTGGAATGAATGATCCTCAGGGTATCTAGTTTTAAATTTGTTGTCAATCAACCAACATGGCCACATAAAATAGAGCATAAGGGTAAAATGCAAGTTATAGTCTCATATCACAAAAACCACAACTGATAGAGAAATTCTGAAAGAGTAAAATGTTCAGAATAACAAGCTCTCCCTACTAAATAAAGGCAACAAAAGTATACCGCTGTTCAATAGTCATAAAACAATTAAGCGAAAACAAATCCTGGTCACAAACCAAAACCAAGGGAAACACATCAACTATAAGAGGAAAACAACGGAACAACAGAAACACTGATCTGCAACAAAAACAAACGCCAAAATACATAGAAACAGACTATTTGATAACAACTGTCATATTCCTGACTTGGTACAGGACATTTTAAGAAAAAATGGTGGGTTGAGCCTGGTTTTATGGCTAGCCAAACCTCCTGCTAGAGAGGCGAAAGATACCAAAGGGACATTAACACTCATTAGTCGAAAATAAACTGACATCGCCATGGCTAAAAAAGAAAAAAACCAACAGACAAACAACAGTACACAAATTTCAACATAGAAAAAAACTAAATACCAAGCAACATGAACCCTACCAAAAACTGGGGGTGATCTCAGGTGCTGCGGAAGGGTAAGCAGATCCACATGTGGCATCCGTCGTGTTGCTCATGTAAGTACAAACCCTATGGTTACTCTCTTTCTGTAGGTTGTATTCGGGGAAAAGGGGACAGGATTGCAGTTAAGACAATTGGAACATATCTGTCTTCATCTGTGACACATATTCCATAAAGGTCAACCAACTCGTGATGGCGTCCGTAAAATTTATGAAGGGGTGATTTCAAATTAGAACTCTTGGTTTAATAGCTTCCTTGTGAGCAGCAACCCTCTATCAAGGAAATCATGATAGGAAATAAAAGCCCTGGAATATCGTATCAACTGGGAGATATATACTGCGTATGCAGGCGATGCTGGAATGTTGCTACATATAAATGGAAAGTTAACAATTGGGAAGCTGGTATCATCTCTTCTGTCCTTAAGTTTTTTTTTAACCGACCCTCATTGTCAGTTTCTGGATGTAAGTCAAGATATGAGGCACACTAACTGTATCTGTTGTATTCTTTATCTCAAGTTCGATAGGATAGATGCATTCAACATAGTCGCCCCATTTTCAATTATTTAGTGAGAGAACATCATCTATATAGCGGAATGAAGTTAATGGATACTGCTAACTTCTTTTCTTTATTCCTAAGAAGTTTCTGTATGAAGTCAGCCTCATATGAATAAAGGAACAAGTCGACAAGAAGAGGAGCACAGTTGTTTCCCATGGGAATGCCGATTGTTTGTTGAAAAACACGTCCTCCAAACGGAACAAATATGTTGTCAATCAAGAAATCAAGCATCTTGATAATGTCAGTTTCAATTATTTTTTTGTTTGAATCAGAGTGATTTTTTACGATTTATTCCTCCCTAAGACAAGATACTTATATCTACGTTGGTCATTCTTTTTAATGAAACAAAGCAGGACTAACTCTTTCAATTTGTCTTTTAGTTTGGAATTGGGAATACTTATATAAAGTGTAGAAAAGTCAAATGTTGTATTACTATTGCAAGATGAAAGAGTCTTAGATTGTATGTACTCTTAAAGAACTTTAGAATTTTTTAGTATCCACATATGATTCCCGCCACCTCTAGAATATGTAGTTTCACAATAACTTTGAAGCCCGGCTTTGGTTGCTGATAAAATTGATGTTAATATTTTAGAAAGAGGTATCGTGCAGCACTTGGAAGACCCAGCAATATCACGTTGTTTGTTATGACACTTGTGTAGTTTAAGTATCCAATACAGTGAAGGAAGATCCATTTCTTCATCTTTGGTTGAAATCCCAAAGGAACATAGAACATACCTATGATAATCCAGGATTTCCTCCTTGGTAAGGGTCGTGGGGGTATATGTTAAGTTTCCAAGTGAATTGTCAATACTTAATTCATTTATCAAGCAATTTATGTAATGTGATTTACCCACAACAATGATGTTCCTTGGGGCTTTATCTGATAAATTTCCAGATAACTACTTATTAGAGTTTTTGCACTTAAGGATGTATTTAGGTGAAATTAAAAAATCGAGAATTTAAAATTGATACTACAAGTCAGAAGAGCATTAGTTTAGGAACAAAATAAGCTAAATATATTGTTAGGTTATAGAGATCCTTTTCGAGGTACTTAATTTTTTTAAAATGGCGGGAAAAGGCTGACTCGGACTTTTACCTTATATTTGCATTGATATTATTTGGGTCTCAAATCGAAAGAAAAGAAATCTAGAATCTGCTTAAATTTTGGTAAATGGCCTGTATCGTAGGAAAAAAACCAAGCAGTCCGAACATCTGACAAAAATTCCTAAACCTGACCTAAGTACATCCTTAAAAGACGATTTTTTAACCTTTTTTTTGTATCTTTTTACAATAAAAGTGTTGCCAACTTTTGTTCGTCTATTTTCTAAAATCTATGATAGATAGAAAGAAAGTTACCAGGCAAAATTTTCAGCAGGATAAGATCTGGCCAAATCTTTCGGAATTTTGGATCCTCAATGTTCTTCAACTTCGTACTTAATTTGACTTTTTCAGCCTAATTGATTTGAGCCTCATTTATGAGTCTTTTGTAGAGGATATAAAGTATTTTGATCATCCTGGTATCTGTGATGAGTTTGTCTAGAAATAAGTCAGCGTGGCTGAAGTTGTCGATATTTACTAAAATTTTGAGTTTGTTTGGCAGTTATCTTGAAAAGCTTCAAAACTGATCTGCACGTTCTTGAAGGAGTTATGACCTTAACTGACAATGACTAAAAACGCTTATATGCTGTCTGTGACGTCAATAATGTCTATAGCAACATCAATCGATGGATTGAAGATGTCGGCTTGAGTCTGAGGGAAAAGCAAAATACATACCGCTTTCCAATTTTATCAATACAGATGTAAAGAAGATTAAAAAGATACCGAGTTCAAAAAAGTAAAATCTAAAATAGAGACTTCGTAAAATTGCAAAGATGGCCAGAGGTCCAAAGAAGTTATTCTAATTTGGCAACTTTATTTTAATTTAACAAACAAAACAAAAAATAATCAATAGGTGTTGTGAGAGCCGAGCTGCGGAAAACTGTTTACTTGGTATAACTGAGATGAAAAAAAATGAATACATGAAAACTATCTGATACAGTGTTCTGTCTTGGAAATTTTTACATTTAATTGGACATTCTGTGCCCATTTCGCTTCAAATCGTGGAACCCTGGCCCTTTAAAGAGCTGTTATCCTACTACAACATCAAAACAGCACCTTTTGAAAAATTACAATCAAGGAAGAACATTTAATAACCTAATCTACAATGTTCTTTTTGTGCACTTTGAGTCTAAGCTCCCTGTATGAATCTCGACTGGATTTAATTTAGCAATATCTGGACACGTGTGGGCGTTTCAGAAATATGGACACGATTGGGCGTTCATGAAAAGGGCACGTTTGGCGTCCTTCAGCAACTAGTGTAGACATGTTTGGGACTTTAATGAGGTACTATGGACATGTTTGGGGGATTGGATACGTATAAGGGATTGGAAACATTTGAGGGGATGGATTCGTTTCTGAGTGTTACATAATAAATGGATAAAAAATAGAAAAAAATATAAGTAACGTAAGATATATAGGAATAAGCAAACATAACGGCATGCAATAGAGACGGAGACGAATGTCAAGATGGCATATTTTTGCTATTAGAGCAATTCTGGTTTTAAGGAGCCACTTGTTTTTGGTCCATAACGTTGGTTCCCCATTTCAGAATGTTCGACAAGATTAAAAACGTTTAGTTTCCTGGTGAAAGATTTATTTATCAATAGGAATTTCAGAAGTTTAACCAGTTCTAAAAAAAAATAAATAGAAGTAAACACAGACCAGAAATAACTGTCTTCGTGAAAAATCAATCCTGTTGAGCTTTCGATGTCCATGGAATTTGCTATTATCATCTGCTGTTGATCATTGAGCTTTAGTTCGCTTCCCAAAGATACAGGGCAAGCTATTACCATCACTTTGGCTCAATCACAAATTATTCATGGATGACTATTCGCAGACTATTTTCTGCTTGTGCTGAATATTTAGCAATTGCTTTTTTTTTCCATTTCATGTGATGAACACAATTTGGTGTCTCCTTTTACTCAACCAATTAGTCATTGAATAACAACGGTGTGTACTAACTTTGGACCACGTGTATGCTAAGCAGCCAACTTAATCATCTGCTGCATGTATGAGACAAACTTGCATTGCTAGATTCAAGGCTATTAATTTTTTACCATATTAGAGTTGAGTGTTACCCATGTTTTTCAAGTCATCACAATATTAGTTTACGTTGAGTTATTTTTGTAATCATCAATTTCCACTACTATCTGT